TGGAGCGGACGCTTGAGAGTCGTGATGCAGAGCTGGCGATTGCTGTGCCTGCGCTGGAGGGAGAGGCTTCGGCGGAGGAATTGGAGAAGAGGGATTATTTGCGTAGGACCAAGGCTGCTGAGGTCAGGCTTGTGAGGAATACGCGGGTTTTGCGGGATCCGAAGATTATGTTTGAGGTGTTGGATTGGAAGAAGGAGGATCTTCCTGCGGATCTGCGGTAGTTTTGGTTGGGGTTTATATATTTTGCATCTGGCATGGTTGAATGATAGAAGGATTTCGGGGGACATTAGATAAAGCCGGGTCGGTGGCCATCTCTATATCAAAAGCCGGTTCGGTCTGTACATAGATTTGAAGATTGAATCAAGCATGGAATCTTTTATGTTTTGTTCATTCAAACAATGTCTCGAATGCATGTAATCGTAACTAGGTTCTTTCTAATAGAACCCATCTAATTTTTGTCTGTCATCCTCTCAACTTTATACAGAGGTATGGCTCTTAAATGCCAGTGCTGCCGAATCCACCGGCTCCACGGACACTTTCCTCCAGCTCCTCGACGACGCTCACTTCGGGGGTGTAGATCTAGAAAAGGTCAGACACATCACCATCACACACCATGTATTATTGATAGGTTGCACTTACCCGCTCCAGAACCAGCTGGGCAACACGATCGCCCGCCTTGACAGGGAAATCGACGTCAGAGTGGTTGAACAGAAGCACCTTGACCTCACCGCGGTAATCGGCATCAATGACACCAGCGCCGGTATCAATGAAGTGCTTAGCAGCAAGACCGCTTCGGGGAGCAATGCGGCCGTCTGTATTCCTCATTAGTGTCCTGTCCGCCCTCAACAAAGCTCAGCCTCAACAAGCACAGAGCTTCGCCAAGGTTCTCAATCCCAATCACGGGTATAGTAACATACAAGTTCCCTGAGGCACAGCAATAGCAATACCACTGTCAACAGCGCCCTTGCCCTTAGCGGGGATAACAGTATCCTTTGCGGCGTAGATATCGTACCCAGCAGCAAAAGCCGAGCCGCGTGTGGGAGCCTGGGCAGACTCAACAAGCTTCTTCACAAGAAGCGGGGGCAGCTGCTGCTGGATCGATGTAACGGCGGGGGTAGTCATTGTGTCGGGCTTTGAACGTTTCGGCAGCGGGGAGGCAGGCAAGGAAGGCGGATTGTGCACGGGGAGTGATTTCTCTTGTGGTGGCGGGGTGATCTCTTTGGTCATGGTAACACAAAATGGTTGGAGGATCGAAGATCGAGAATCGAGTGGAGTAATTAATTGGGAAAAAAATAACAGGGCCCACAGTGAATGCAAAGTCCCCTAGCTTCACAAAAATTGCGGTGAGCTTGACGCCTGCGCGTTTCACCGCTGGGACGCGTCGGGTGTTTGTTCTGTTTGTTTCCTCCCCGCTCTTCTCAGCGGTGACGCCGAGGAGGTGCTGGTGCCGAGGTTCACCGGTTACACCTGGGCATTTATTGCTTCCCTGTACATATTATTTTGAACCCGTGGTCACTTTGAAAAATACATACGCTTTTTAAATATTTCCCTCAATTCATATCAACATCATGGCGGGTGAAGTGCGCCAGCCTATAGATATCCCCTCGTTGGAGAGGTACATTGACCAGAATGTGCCTGAGGTTAAGACTCCACTTGATGTGAAGCAGGTGAGTCTGGCCCGTCAGTCGGCAAATCAGCATGCTATATCAACCAGACCAACTAATATCCTATCACTATAGTTCGGCTTCGGTCAATCAAACCCTACCTATCTTCTTACTGCCGCAGATGGCAAGCAGGTCGTTTTGCGCAAGAAGCCCCCTGGCAAGCTGCTCTCGAAGACAGCTCACAAGGTCGAGCGCGAGTACAAGATTATTCAAGCATTAGGGGATACCAATGTACCCGTTCCCAAGGCATACTGCCTATGCGAAGATGACAGCGTGATTGGAACCGCATTCTACATCATGGAGTTCCTAGACGGACGGCATTTCACCGACCCAGTGATGCCAGGAGTGAGCGGGGAGGAGAGAAAAGCACTGTACGTCACCCGATTGAGGCTCCGACGCAGCCACCAACACACCCCAGCTAGTGGCCCCGCATATACTAACAAGCACCCAGCTGGAAGAATGCAGTACAAACGCTCGCAAAGTTCCACAACGTAGTTCCCAAAAGCGTCGGACTCGAAAACTTCGGCAAGCCGACAGGCTTCTTCGACCGCCAAATCGCCACATTCAAAACAATCTCCAAAGCCCAAGCGGCAGTCGTCGATGCCGACACCAAAGAACCCGTCGGCGAACTCCCCCACTTCAACGACATGGTGACATTCTTCGCTCAAAAGAGCACGCAACCACTAGACCGGGGCACGCTCGTGCACGGCGACTACAAAATCGACAATCTGATCTTTCACAAGACAGAGCCGCGCGTGATTGGAATTCTAGATTGGGAAATGGCGACCGTAGGACACCCGCTCTCGGACTTCTGCAACCTGACAAGTCCGTACATCATGGACGGTGGGGACAGCCAACTGTCGCAGTTCGCGCCGGGGGCTGTTCCAGGGCTTCCAAGGCGCGAGGAGTGCATTGGTTGGTACGCCGAAACGTCTGGGTACGAAACGAGCTCCGACGTGGCGTGGGGCGATGCGTTCTTTGCGTTCCGGGGCTCCGTGATTATGCAGGGCATTGCGGCCCGGTTCGCTGGGAGGCAGGCTAGTAGTGCGAGGGCTAGTGAATATGCGAAGCGGGCGAAACCGTTTGCTGAGGAGGCTTGGGGGAGGGTTAGGGCTGTTAAGAGGGCTGCTGAGGGGAAGTTGTAGTTAGTACATTGGGTAGCGTAAACTATTACTTCGAAGCGTTGACAGTAGCTTTCGAGTTCGGATTGAACAATGTATATACTTGGAATCGAAGCCTGGACCTCCTAGTTTTATTCTAGCGTAGATAGATGCATATAGAACACCCGATCTGAATCTAAATCGGTCTCTTCATCGTATGTAAGGTTGGTCCAGAACCAATTCTCCATGAGACAAACCCCACTAGGTAAGTTGAGCCTAGAACAGCTAGATTGATGTACTTTTGGCGCCTGACGTGTGGTAAGCACTTATCCCGATGGGGACAAACATTTGAGAGAATGGTATAATATCCTGCGAGCATATCACGTTCATGTACGCCATTTTATCCGATCACTTCCTTGAGGGATATATAACTTTGGAGAGATTCAAGTTGGTAAATATATATATATAATATATATAAAACGAATGTAAAGTGTATATAAGAGTAGAAGATGGGAACCAGGGTATGTAGATGTACTGGTAACGTTATAAATGCCCAGGAATACCGCATTGTGTAATGTCCGTTGCAGTTAAGTTATGATTGGCTACAAAAGAGGGGAAAAGGGTGAGGCTTTTTTATTGCCCTGCGGCTCTACGCGTAAGTGAGGCTGACGGGGGTGAAGAATCCACCTCAATAACAGGATTTTGTTATTCAGGCATTGGTTTCAAACTAATTTATCTTTTTATCCACAATTCACTAGTGCGAGAGGATTGAGGGGATGCGGCTGGGGGGAAAAATTCGGGAATTAGGGGGTTTCCGGTGACCGACAGGGTTGGACAACACATTTATGCAGGTAGTATAGCGTAGTATTATAATTAAGGTAGATAACATTGTAGGATAGAAGGTAGAAGAGTAAGATGTCTCTTAACGAGGCTCTGAAACAACGTGGGCCGGTCGATCTCCTTGCCGCAGACAGCGCGCGTTGTCAACCAAACCGGGAAAGCCTGAAGATCCTTTCGGGCTGACGGCTCGAGGCTCGCAGTTAGCGTGCCAGCGCAGACTGACGTTGCAAAGGCAAAAAAAAGGACGAAAAAGGCGGGACAGAAAGAGGAAAAGAGAGAACAGACCGTGTGGAGCCTTCGTGCAGCTTCCCTAGCCGGGTATAAGAGACTGGGGGAGTGGAGAGAGGGGAAACCGACGAGTGTTGCCCCCGGTTGTTGTCTCCGAGTTTAATGGTGGAGCCTGAATAGCAGAGAGTAGCGGTGGAGACTTTTTTTCTTTTTTTTTCTTTCTCTCTTTCTTGGCTTATGTGCGACCAGGTTGAAATGCTCCGAGTATAGTAGAGGATAATGTCAGGGGATCATGGTCAGCAGAGGAGGTTTGATGGGTGATATAGGTAAAGTAAAAAAAAACAGAGAAAAAAACAAAGAATTACTTCAAAATACTTCAAACCCGAACAATAATAGAAAATACAAACGGTACTGTAATTTATTATGGAGCCCGAACTGAGAGCCGCATGCCATTCAACTTCTCTCCCACCCCCTCGAATATTGGTTTATTCTCCTTTCCTTTTTCTCATCTTTTTTTTCCTTTACTCAAGCATTATACTGGTAGATATTGCTGGGCTTGAACTTACACGTGTAGAACGTGGTATCTCACCCCCTTAGACCATCCTTCCGCCATCTCTCCCTTTAGTTTTTTTTTTCCTTTCTTTTCTCTCATTGTACAGTTCCCTTGATATCATTCATCTGCAGATGGCGCAGTGACAATCGGACTTGTTGAGCCTCAACCCGGGGGACCCATTCACCTACCCGTCAACCTTTCCGCTTGGGTAAGTGCACTTTCTGCAGACCTCGACCTGGATAGTCTAGAGCTTATGTCTCTCTTTTTTTTTTTCTCTTTTGCTTTTGCTTTTCCTTTTTTTTTGTCTTCTTTCTTGATTTCTACCCTCAGACCTGTTTGGGTTCCATTTTAGTTCTCGTGTCATCCTGAACCTGGCAACCCCTCATCTCCCCATCTCGACGCTTTGCAGACGGGCAGTCGCATTGTATCGGACTTGCTTTTCTACTTTCTCTATTCCACTTAGATCCTTTTTTGATTCAATATCCGATCATCGGCAAATTATATACTCATGTCTAACCATATCTTACAGGCTTATTTCTGATGTGTGATCGTCAATTCAATCTGTCAGATCAACTATAAAGTGAGGTGCTCGATGCACCTGCCACTTTATCTATGATGTCCACTATGTATGACTCGGATGACGCCTTTAATCGATCGCCTCCAATGGAGGCGATGAAACCCAACTATGGAGAAAAGGAACCTTCACCACCACCGTTTGTTTCGACCGAAAAAGATGCCGACGCAGCTGGTTCTCGTAAGCCCAACCAGCCGGAACCTCAGAGCTCAACCCGTGAGGGCGACCGAGTGCTGATGGGGTTTCTAGCTCCGAACCACCCCGAGATTGCCGTGGCGGCAAGGAATTCTCCATTGGAACCATTACCTGGAAATCTCAAAATTTATAAGCAACCACCTGACTTCGACCCCAGAGATTCAAAGAGGTCAATTCCATTCGAAAGGGGTGTGCCTCCACTAAAGGAATCGCTGGATGTCCTGACAGGCTCAGGCTCAGCCTCATCTAAGGAGACCGGGAAGGGACCCCCAAGATAGAATCGACCCCAGTCCCAGTCCAGCCACCGCCAGATGTTGAGGCTAAAAATGAGGCTCGGCCAGTACGACTTCAATCATTCAGTGGCGCGAGTCAACGACCACAAGGGCTGCCCTATCTTAAAACCTCTTCGGAAAACGAGCCACCAATTCCTCTCCCATCACTAAAATTGTCCCAACCCTCTTCTGGACCAGGTCTCGCAAAATCTCCAGACAGCAAGAAGCAAACGCTGCCCTCTATCCACAAAGCTATCAGCGAACTGTCAGACTTCGGCCCACCACCACCCAACACAATGCCATCGCCCTTCCCCTTCTCCTCGTGTCCCACATCAACTACATCAGGGAACGATTCTCCATTCGACCGTGCTTTCCCAGGAAAGTTTTCCATTCCTGCAAGTCCTTATTCTCACTTTTCGCCGGTGAGCATGAAGGACTCATCTACCAACCCTTCCCCGGCCTCGCACTCATCCTTCTGGCGCGGACCACCCCATTCCGAGATGCTGTCCGTCCAGACCCCGTATGAGCCTTCTCCTATGACTGCCAAAAGCCCCGCGAATAGTTATCCTACGCCCACGGAACAGGTCGGCTCTGGTATGGGCGATCGGCATTCGCTCGCTGCGTCTACTCCTCAGGCCAATGGCCCCGTGGGTAGTTACAAGTGTACACATACCGGATGCACTGCTGCGCCCTTCCAAACTCAGTATCTCCTCAAGTAAGGACAAAAAAAAAGACGATTCAAGTGAAGAACCCACCTAACAAAATAGCAGTTCTCACGCAAACGTGCACTCACAAGACCGCCCACATTTCTGCCCAGTAGAGGGCTGTCCACGCGCACTAGGCGGCAAAGGTTTCAAGCGCAAGAATGAAATGATGCGCCATGGCCTCGTGCATAATTCCCCAGGCTACGTCTGTCCATTCTGTCCGGACCAGCAACACAAATACCCGCGACCCGACAATCTTCAACGGTTCGTACTACCTCCGAGCCTCATTTAATCTGACATCAGCTGAACACTCACACAGACATGTTCGAGTACACCACGTCGACAAAAACAAAGACGATCCTATTCTCCGACAAGTTCTCGCGCAAAGACCACTTGGTAGCGCGCGCGGGAAAACGAAGGATGAACAATACATGAAACCTTTTAACTCTCTCGTTTTTCTTCTATTCTATTTCTTTCGCTTTACATCTTGCATTTCCAATTTCTTTCTCGTGTTCTACCCATTCCGACCGGTACCCTCTACAACCCTCCACATTCAACCCCTGTGTCCCCCGGGTGTTCCAGATTTCCAGATTAGCGCCTCAGTACGACATGCTAATCCCTCTTCGAGGCAACTTCGCAACTTTACGCGTGACGAATTTTTCAGCTGTGATACCTTCTGTTTTTTATTTTGTTCTGTTTTGGTGCTTCTGCAATGATACCACCTGTCCATTGTTAGAAATTCATGATGTTACATGGGCCATTCGTTTAATTCCAGCGTGTGTCTTTACTATTCTTATCTTTATCTTTCTCCATCTTGTCTGATCAATTTGGGGTATGAATCCTCATTCTATTGAATTTCTTCACTTTCCTTCACTTGAAAAAATCACTCGGATAGATGTCTCTTTCACATTGATGCACCATAACTTGAGATTAATGCCCGTATCAATCCCATCTGATACGCATGGACTTCCTTGAGATTCAACCTTCAACCTGGTGGAAATTTGAATTATGCCCGGATGCCGGACTATACCTCTCTTAATTTCACGCGCTTTTCCATTTCCGCCTCGATATGTCGATTAAAGTTTCCCACTCAGTCGCCAATTTGTGCATTCGTACTAGGGCTTCTCGCCATCATCCTTGTCTAGGACCTTTCTTCTGTCTACTACTTGTGCCACACCGAGTCAGCCTCCTTCCACCGCTTTTGTTATATTAATACTTTGAACCCAGGTATAGCAGCAAGGCTACTATATTACTATACTATCCATTGCTTGATTTTGTGGCCTGCTGCCTGCAGTGAGTTTGATCATGCCTTCATGGGTCTCAAGCTAACATCGCGTGGCAAGCTGCACCCTGAGGAGATTTGTACCATTCGAGGACTTTCTCGAAATGTTTTCGTTTATCAGACGATGGAAAATAGGATGATCTTCTCTTAATATACCTCGCCAAATAAGTAATGGCAAGGGGCATAAAACTAAGGATATTGGCAAGTTCGATCAGTTCTTTAGGCTCAATTCGAGCTTCAAGTTGAATTGTGTGGAAGATACGTCCAAGTGACTGCAGACTCTCATCAAGAAAGCGAGAATGATCAAATTCCCCAAGTATAAGAGCTCAATTAACCCTGCTGCCTCGAAACCAAGCGCAGAAAAGCCTGAATATGTTAGTCCTAGGATCCTCGCGGCCGGGAATCCCAATCCAGTCTACAATGTCTTAGCAATCCTGCTCGAGACCAGCCCAATCATGCACCAATGGCTAACTCAACATTTTATATTGTCGACATAGAACCTCTGCGCCTAATCCTGTAGGTCTACCACAACGTTCCGGCCCGACATCTTCTCATTGAAATAGGTGTTCGCAGCCATCTTATTCGGGAAATTTTTGTGTCACCTATAATGATTTCAATATGGACGTACCATGGACAGCGTTAAGACATGTAGTTTACTTAAGACATTTTGTTATGAAGCGGCCCCGGGAAGGTTCTTCAGCTCCGGACAGGGGGTACGTATATTTTCAAGAGGGCGCTTAACAGGCAGGATTAAGAGTTTTAAAATTCTCTAGCAATTCACCCGCTCTTCTATATTGTCTCTTTTGTTGACTCTAGCTCGTTATCTTCTTTTGGTCTTTTGTTGGGGGTATTTGACCCAAGGTCATATATAGCCACTATGAGGCTATTCAGGAGCAAGACGAAACCGAGTGCCCCAGAACCCAGTCTGTAAGGTTTCGTGACAAAATAATGATTTACCGAACTAATGATGCCGAGATACTCCACAGAAGGTGCAATTGGAATGAAGGTGTTATCTGATCCTTCGAATGCCGACCTAGAGTAAGTATTTTTTATTTCAAGAAGCCCAAAGCAACCACCCAAACTAAAATACACCAAACTAGCATCATTTTTGTCCACGGATTGGCCGGCAACCGCGAGAAAACATGGTCCCACGAAAACGGAACCTTATGGCCCCGAGATCTCCTCGCCAAAGACTTATCCAAAGCACGCATTATGACCTTCGGCTACGATATCGACATATTCAGCTTCACCTCAATTACCTTCTCAGACCGACTCTACGACCATAGCCAATCCCTAGCCTACGCAATCGTCAGCCAACGAATTGACTGCTCTAGCAGACCAATCCTCTTCATCGCACACAGTCTAGGCGGTCTGGTCTGCCAACAAGCCTTGATCCTCAGCAACTCCATAGACGGTCTATGGGGTATATCCTCAAGCGCCATCGGGATAATCTTCATGGGCACACCGCATCACGGATCCTCGCTCGCTTCCTACAGAGAGAAACTCGCAAAAGGAATGAATATAGTCCACACCGCGAACAGGGATATGGTCGGGGCTCTGCACCCGGGTTCGAATAATGTGCAGCGAGTCGGGAATGAGTTCTTGACTATGCTTGCGCGTGGAGACCTCTCTCTCAAGATCTGCTGTTTGTATGAAACGAAGAAAACGAATGATATAGTGGGCAGAATTGTTGAAGAGCATTCGGCTGTTCTGAGGAATTATGAGAATCGGGGTATCAATGCTGATCATTGTAACATGACGAAGTTTAGTGGTCATGCGGACGGAGGCTATGGGCTTGTGAGGTCTGTTATTACGGGGTGGCTTCATGAGTCTCGTGGCGATGAAAACAAGAATGTCGTGTCTGCTTCTGTTTCGGGAAATCCGGCTTGGTTGGGGTCTTGGACGCCGGGGAATTTTTGTTTTAATGGGAGATATTATACGCATGGAGATCAGAAGTTTAGCTTCGACTAATGGTGGAATATATATGTGTTTACAATTTATTGGTTTTAATTCTGTGCAAGCTCTATATCTCTCGAGTCAATATCTACAGAATCTATGCAAGATCTTTGTGCCTGAATGAGTGGGGACTTGCATTAAAGTTAAGAGTTAAGCTTCTAAAACCTTGGAACACGTGCGAAGCTAAAACTTTGGGTCCCAAAGTTTCAGATATCTGATGAGTCAGTGATATTATTCTCCACCTGGGCGAGTATTTGACTTGAGACATTCTTGAAATCATTCAATCCCCTAATTCAATGTGTAACAACTAGCAGACTCCTGATCGCCAAGGAAGCCTGCGGCTGCTCAAGACACTGATTAGTATATCTTGACTGACCGTTCGTGTAACCGTTCTTTTGGCACTCGCCCGGGGCGTTGGTGTAATACTCTAGACTCTGGTGTGTTTCATGGTGCCTGGAAAGATGCTTATAACCTCCGCTTCATGGGGTTCACATCTGCCGGGCGCGGATGTGTTGCCAGAAGACTGTGGTTGATGTTTATTACTCCGCAGAGGCCCTGGTCTGGTAGAATGGAGATTCAAGGTGTATGACTGGAATCGTGCCGGTCCGAGGAGGAGCATGTTTTGGGACTGGTAATTCGCTAATCAGGTAGTAGATAGGGCTTTGAATTGGCAAAGCAAGCTTCGTCACAGAAGCCTGGTCTTGACATACAAAGGTTATAATTTGGATTTTTGCCTTTGCCACACAGACTAACAGGCCTCAACGAACTTGTTACATGGATACCCTTTGTATAAAGGCAAACGGGCAATCCTTGCATCTTTCATATGCTATATGCCTGCTCTTTGCCACTGTAAATAGCCTCAACTGATTAACAGTGGGTATAAAAATGATCAGATAGACACTAGACACTGTGTAATAATATTTTCTAATAAAAAAAATATGAGGATCTTGAACTATTATTAGACCCCAGATTTAGGGGAGATTCGCGTTTCATCTGGCCTATTTCTGCATAAACGTCTTGGATACATAAGAGGCTCATGGGTAGTTTATTACCCAGGCGTTTTTGCAATAATCTCTATTATCAGGTTCAGTATGATTTTAGTCTGGCCTAGTTTTTTTGTTTGACGTTAAAATTAGGAACAAGCATTTTTAGTTGTTTCTTACGGCAGTAGATCATTCGGCAATGCTCGAGTTTAATTCTAGATTGCATCTCTACGTCACGATGTATAGTTAACATTGCTCAAGCAGTGCAATTATCCCTATCTGTATGGTTTTATGCGTTTAAATTTGATAGAACCGAAATGTAAACTCTCGCTAAACATCAAAACCGCTCATTTCAAATTCGCCATGCCTTTTTCCGTTTGCCTATCAATGTTATACAAAAAGTCAACCAAAAGTCACAAAATACAAGCAAAACAGCAAAAGATGTCCCAAGCCCGGTAAACATGAGTCATAATACTCATAGCCATCATGGTAATCACACGGACAATCAAGCCTTTCCAGCCTCCCCTTTCCGATGAATTCTTCTCACGTGGTCTTTCATATTGTCGACACGACTGAAGACCTTCCCACAGCCTTTCCACTCACAAAGGACTCCAGGGTTATGCTTCGCCTCATGACGAGCACGATCTTTCTTACTGCTGAATCCATTCTTCGCAGACTGAGGACAACCCTCATAGCGACAGAATAGGTACTTGCGGTGGCGGTTGAAGTGTTTCCTCAGATCACAGCCTCGATGGAAGAGGGATTTTGAGGAACAGCCTGGATGGGCGCAGCGCCAGTTGCCGTCACCCGTTGGGATGCCATAGTTGCTTAGATCACCTGCGTTGGAGTTGGAGCCTGAGCCGGAGGCCGAGCCTGGTGCCGTTGGTGGAGAATCTGGGTCGTATATGGAATGTGCTGGCGATGAAGAAACTGAGGTGGGCGTAGCGGTGGATTGGTAGAGATGAATTGGTGGAGCTGGGACTGATCGAGGAGCTGAGACGGATCGGGGCATTGAGAAGAAGGTTTCTGGGATCTGATCAGAGGAATGGGGTGGGTAAGAAAGCCACTGCTCGTTCGCAGTGTTCAGTTGGCTATTGAATGCTGGGTAGCGCTCTGGTTGTACTTCCACTGATGGCGGAAAGCGCATAGAGCCCATGTTTGGGAAAGGTTGTGACTGGTAGATGTCTCCAGCTGGTTCGCTCTCGATGCACCATTTGTCAATTTGCTGGGACGTATAGCCCGACATGCCTGGGTCGCTCATAGCTAGCTGTGCAGATTCCGGGGAGTAACAAGCTTGTATGAAGGGCGTTGTGGTGGGTCCGATGGAGGCGTCAAATGAGGGCATATGAGGAGAATTTGAGTGAATCTCTGCGTTGGACGCGGTAGACCATGCGTATTGAGAGCCCATTATATCGGTGTCTGTTGATCTTCTTCTTCTGGTGCAATAATGCACTGGGGATAGGAAGGACCGAGGATCTGGTTGCACGTCCATAAAGTCCATCTGCTGAAGAGCGGACATTTGGGAGTTGGATGAAGCGCTGGTGGGGATATCGGTCAGGCCTCTCATATCTCGAGGCTCTGGGGACTCCGAGTAACCAGAAATATCTGGCACAGTGCTGTAGATACTTTTGGACTTTTGGCCAGGATACATGTTGGGGATGTTGGGGATGTAGAGAACTTTGTGGAATGATAGTTCTTCTGGGGATGGAAAAGAGACTTCCCAGTCAAAGTACTCGAAACCGTTTGGAGGAAACCTCTCTTGCATATCAAGTGTTTAGTATAACTTCTTATAACTTTGGAAAGGATGTATGAACAGGTGTCCATGCGGTTGAAGATGCCCGATCAGACCGAGAAGCCAAAGTATTATAAAGTTTTGGCAGATTTAGAGCTGAACTTGGTTTTTAGACTAAGACGTAACCGGCAGTGGATTATTCATGTTCATCTTAAGTCGAGGAGGCAGTGCTGTAATTCTTATAGGCGTTCCGCAGAATTGAAACGTTAATGGATAATACTGCCCAGGTGCCATGCTATAGAATTACTAACCATGGTTATAACCTGGTAAACCATCGAGCTGACACCGTTTGATTTTGGTCAACTCCAATGTATTCCGAAATTACTAAAGCCGGGGGGTCTCTACTGGCCTCCACTCGAAAGATAACTTCCTCCCGGTATTTGGTTTGTCATCTGTATAATTATGGGGCACGCTTTTTTCAAAGTAGGGCTGAAAGATGACGACGTGGGTACTTAATACATTCCTGGCTAGACCAACGGCAGATAAATTGCTAGAGGTTAGGGTTTTATGAATTAACTATGAGATTCCTAGGGTCTGCATTGCACGGTCGTATTATTGGCCAGTAGAAAAGCCACATCACGCCCAGGACCCCAGGGATGACCAGGACCGGCGCTGCGGTATTCTGTAAGATCTTTTTTTGTCTGTACATGTTCACTATAAACACGTGGCAGTGATTCATAGATATCTGGATCGTATTATTCCATTATTACACAAGAGATGCCTCGAGTTTTATGTTGTACACAAAATCCCCGATTCCATGCCTGAAAACAGTCTTAACTCTATGGTTTTGTTTCCAGTTTCCCAAGGTTGAGTCAGCTTGAAGGTAACGTTAAAGCCAAAGGTAGTATCTCTTGCGCGGCGGGGTATCTTACTAGTAGGGAGCTAGGATTAATATCTTGCAGACATCTTTCTCTCTAGTGGCTGTTCTGTATGGTCGATCATGGCGGAAATCAGGTATCTGTGCGGGAAAAAAAAAGGTCCATGTGGAATGTGGGCTTCGGCTTCAGCTATAGAGAGCGCCCTTAGCCCCGACACCGACGGCTAGCACCGTTAGTGCATTGTGCATTGACAGTATCCTTTCTCATGATTGGACAAATGGGATAAATGTGTGCTTATCCCTTTATTCGACCACTCACATCGCTCAGTGGAGACCAAATACGGGGGGCCGTTCAAAACGAGGAGCGGTGTCCCAATATGGATCGGCGTGAGCCTCACTGTGGCTTCATGCTTATTATGCAGTCACAGTGTGAATTGTAACTATTGCATTGTGCGACAGGTTGTTTGAGAGATCCCTAGGAATAGCAAATCATGGCCTGAATGCTTCAAATGTTCTTTCTAGAATGGCACGTTGTACGGTAAGCCGGTTGTGAGACCGGATATCTTCGGTCTAAGAATAATATATGGTGTGTCTCAGATATTAAAAAAAAAAATAGTATCAAATTCCCAATAGAACGGTCTATCATGTATCTAAATCGTGGCTTATACCAAAAAGCCCAACCCGCCAGATCGGCAAGATTTCTCCAGGGCCGAGATGTTTGGTTGGAATTCCCGCCCCCACAATGTCTCAAAATCCAAGATCAGACTTTCACAAAAATAGAGATCCCCAATGTCTCAAATTTGGCCCCAAGGTCACTAGACTCATCCCATGCGTCTCTCTGTGTGTCTTGGATCATACCCGAGCTTCCACAGCATCGTCTTGTCCAACCAAGAGGGGCGTTTGCTCGCCCGGACCAGGTGTTCCCTTCAGATCAGGGGGATCTCGGTATAAGACGTAGTGTTGGATACAAAAGATCGCATCGAAGAAGATTGTAACGTTACCCAGCAGTAGCTTTACCGGGTTTCCAGTAATACCGCTCCAGTCGCGTTGAAGGCTGGAGTCAAGAACCAGTTGGAGCATCGAAAGAACACCACCAGCCAAGTCCAAAAGGATGGTCCCAATGTTCCATCCTACTGTAGATTGGCGCTTGTAGTTCAACGCCACTTGAGGCATATATTTCACAATGGTGATCAGGAGCTTGATGTACGAAAACGAGTAGATCTGGAAGGAATTTAGCTTCGGTTTGTGGATTCTCCGATGATTTACAAGCCCATTGAATAATATCAGCTTATTTTCACCTACCACATCAATCCACGCCCAACTGGAAGGATCATACCCTCCATCCGGACTTTGCGCTAACACAACAGCCATAACCAGCAGAGGAGTCAGGACAGATCCCCAAAAGAGCCCTGCCATTGTCCAACTGACTCTTTGGAAGCGAGGAACGTGAAGCCCCCAGATGAAAGGCCAGAACTGTGTGTACATTATGATGCACATTATCACCGCGTGGGCCGCAAATGCGAAATCATTGAACCGGACGGTGGGTTCGATGGCCGCAGGGTGTCGGGCCGCATACTGTGATCGAATGACGGGCGAGTAGAGAAACACGGCGGTATATATCGCATAGCAGACAAAGCCCAGAGGATTGATAGTGGATAAATCAATGGATAAGCCGACTGTGGACTTGCGTTTCCAGTTGGTGATGGGTTGCGGATAGAAAGACCCCGACCAGCAGAGCATGCTGTGTTCGAGTCAGCCTTCAATACAAGTGCCGCATGAGGTCTAGCCTCGGAATCAACGCGTAGACTTACTATGCCCATCCTAAAAGGCTGAGATAAATTGGTTAGTCATGTTCATAATATCCCGGTGGCACTCGGGTGTAAATAGGAGTTCACAAACCGGGAAAAGGCGTTGATAAATGTCTCTATTTGAGGTGTCATGTTGGATGAAGGGCACTCATTCCAAAGTGTGAGGGGAAAGAAGAGAAGGTGTGGAGGTTTCGAACTCCATTCAGCACGCAATCTTGTGATAAGATCAGCTCAGAAATGGATAAGACAGATAAGATAAGGGTATACAGCCTAGCTGAATTTGGAAGGCGGTCGCATCGCCAATGATGAGTCAGCGGCTGGTTGGCCCGGTGATTGTTGTCGGAAAACAGATGACTGGGGGAATCGGTCAGCCTCTTGTTGTGATTCCTCTCTGCCCGAGGTCCCTGTGCGACGTGCATTTTTCTATTTCATCTAAATTGCGTTGTCGGACGCTTTTTCAATCCTATCCTAACCTCACAATCCGAATCTGTACGACTTTATTTCCCCTCTCCTTGCGCTCCGCCTCGAGTTCTACTCTACGGCCCTCTCGAACCCTACTTAGATCTTGTGATACGATCAGTTCCACACGATTATCTGGTCAATATACAATCAATTGGGTCGCCTGTCATAGAGCATTCCAGTCGACATTTCGATCCCGCTATCGCATGGTGCATTCCTCCGATCGGGAGATCTCGAAAGATCTCCTTCGGTAAATCCGACATTCCACACTGAAGATCGCATGGTCCTTCAAGAATTATCCGCAAAATGTCAAATTCAGATCTCGCCGCTGCGGGGAGCAGCACGTATTCATCCAATACCCTTCATGTTGGGGATGGCACCTGGGACAATGGGCGGGATACGTTTCTGCTGCCCAATTTGATGGGGCTCAACTTTGAAACGATGCGATACAATGGTTAGTCCGATATATCAATAATATACTTTTGATAGTGCATACACTCTCAATTATATTGTAATGACTGACACGTTACAGGTATGGGAAACCGTTTCAAGGATATGGCTGGGTACCATTCCATAATCATCGCGCATGGTGTCATTGGAACCATCGTTTTCTTGGGCATCGTCCCAACATCAATTTTCCTAATCCGATACTACTCCCGGTGGAATCCTTACTGGGCATTCAAACTGCATGCTTGGTGTCAGGTACTTACTTTGCTTTTGACCACGGTCGTGTTTGTGCTTGGCTGGTTCGCCGTTGGGCCGGAAAGAAGCCTAACAAACCCCCATCATGGAATTGGCCTGGCAATCTATGTTTTGGTAATTTTCCAGGTGTTTTGGGGCTGGTTCCTGCACAAGAGGGAGAGTAAGAGGCAGCGAGTCCACGTTCCTTTAAAATTGGTGGTAAGTGATACCGCAAGAAGGGATATACGGGCTCTTCTAACATATCTTAGTTACATCGGTGGTTAGGTCGTGCTCTTGCACTTCTCGGCATTGCCCAAATTCCACTAGGACTCGTTCTCTATGGTTCACCAAAGGTCCTGTTCATCCTATTCGCGCTGACCGCTTTCGCCTACTTGGTTCTTTACTTCATACTTTCCTACCGATATGATACTGAAGGGTATCACATGGGAAGTGAGCACGGTGGTGCTCGCAGTCACTATACAGGACCTTCAGAAATTTCAGAGCCACATGGCCATCACACGGGAGAAGCTCTCGCCGCCGGCGCTGCAGGCGCTGGCCTGGCTTCAATGTTTCGACGACGTACAAGCAGTGGTCATCCTAGCCATGCTTATGAAGACTCTCGCACCTCTATCTCCGATGAAAAATATTCGGATGAATCTTCCCGCCATGGTGGTGGTAAAGGCGGTGGTTTTGGCAAGAAACTCCTGGAGATTGGTGCACTGGCTGGGGCGGGTCTCATGGCCAAGAAGTTCTGGGACCGTCGAAAGAAGCGAGAAGATGATGCCGAGTCAGGTCGCTATAAGCCTGCTCATTCGCGCAGTACTAGCCACTCGGATGAAACTCTCAGCAGGATGGAAGACGGTCGACCGGAGCCGACTCACCACACGCCCCTCAATCGACCACCGAGCCGCGCACCAAGCAGGTCCCAAAGCCCAGGGTCGTCTTACTATTACAATAGCACATATTTCACTGAGCCACCTAAGCGAAGCGCTTCTCACGGGGTTAGAAACGCTGTTCTGGGTGCCGGTGCTTTTGCTGCCGTGAAGCGACTGTTCAGCCGTGGTAAAAAGGACGATGAAGAGAAACGGCGGCTGGAGGATATCAGGCGCCGTGAAGATGAAGACGAGGCGCTGCAGAGGGCAAACAGCAGACGACGACCACAGGCGGGAGAGAGTTTCTACCCACGAAGAAGGGCCAGTTCGTACAGTGAAACTGATCTCACTGAAACCGATCTCTCCCGTCCTCCTCCGCCTCGACACGCATCACATGGAGAATCCCTTCTTACTGCAGAGCCCCGCGCCTCCGGTGCTGTCCAGAGCGTTGTATCAGATATGCCCCCTATGCCCCCGAGCCACCAACAGTTCTCTGGTGACTTGAGGTCTGAAGCTCCTCACTCACGTCACTCCCTTGCGCCTGGTGGAGCAGAATTTGCATCAGGTGCCGCCGCTGGCGCAGCACTAGATGCCGCCTCCCGTCGCAACCGGAGCAGCAGCCGGCGCCGAGGTGATGACGTTGCCTCCCCACCGGTATCTGTGAAAGTAAAAATGCACAATGATGGACGGCATGTGACACTCCGTCGGCTGACTGAAGAAGAAGCGGCCGCGAGCCGCGAGGCCCGTCGCAGAGAGCGGAGAAGCTCCCGACGTCGCAACAGTAGTGCAGGCTCCTTGTCTGGAAACGAAGACGCAAGCCAAGACCGCTGGCGTCGCGTTGAAGAACTCGAACGTCGGCAAGACGAGCAAATGCGACGTGAACAGGCTGCTGCTTCTGCTCAGCTTCTCCCTCCACAGACATCTATGGCACCATCAGGCAGCATGCCTGCATCTTCATGGGCCGCACCACCCTCACAAGTCAGCCAAATGCCGCCCCCACCTCCCATTCCTGCGCCTTCAACCATCCCATATGGGGCAGGTAGTGTTACTTCACCTACATATACCGGTACTGAGATGAGTGGTTCGTACGCGAACAATCGTCGCCGCAGACGTGCTGAACGAGCCCGCACCAAACAAGAGAGGCAACAGCAGCACGGCGTGGAATTTACTTGATCTTTCCCTTGTTACTGTTCAGCATCCTCCGTTTTTCCCTTCCTCTTGTGTCTACCAAGACCCAGCTTACGACATGTACAAAACGAGTTATGTGCTTCAGAGCCGTGTTGATATAAATGATCCCCCCTATCACGGTGCTATGTCTTTTTGATATGTTTTCCTTCATTTTCTTGAATGTGCTTTTCAGGCGACGAAATGATTCTTTTAGCTAGCTTTTTCTTTCTCAACTTTTCTTTTATGACACCAGCGATTTAACGGATCTTTTATTGGGTTGTTGGTTGGCCTTTTTGCCGGTCTTCTTGTCTTTACCTTTTGTGGCAATATACCTGGTCTTGGTATTGGTTATCTGCCCTATTCTTTTGATACTGCTTGGACTTTTACCAATCAGTGATGCAACTTAAGACTCTAAAATTCGATTAATTTTGAACAATATTCTGTGCCAGTAGACCTCCTTGTATTGAAACTTAGGTATAGATGGTAATTATATCCGGCACTCTTCACAGAGGTAGTATATACTCGGCCCAATGCACAACCCAACGACCCTTTTCCACTTCGTCGGCGTAATCAGAGGCTTCTGCTTCCTTACTATCGGGGATTTGAGCTTGTGTTGGCTTCACCACGTGGGTTACTAGTCAACAGCGCCACGAAGAGGCCCAAGCTCGTTGCTGTTGATAGCGCGCTGCGTCTTGCGACGACAGACAATGCTCATTTAAAAATTATCATCCATTGCAGGTGCTCTAGTCTTAGCAAGGGGCTACCATGGAGCCACATTCTTTTTTTCTTTTTCTTTCAAGTGTAGTGGATGGTGACAGACGAAAATCCGACCCACTCCCCAGTGGGTTGACTCCCTCTGTAGGATTTCTCTCGGTCCTCCGAGGGATTATTGCATGCTACAGTAGAGGTTCTCTCCGCTTGACTGGGGTAGATTCGATGGATTACAATGGTATGGAGAGATCAAAGCCAAGGGAGTGGATTGTTCTTAGAACTACAAATACAGGTGGGTCAGGTTGACCTGACCACGGCGGGAGCAGTGAACTCCTCTCCGCCGTTTAATGCCCTCCCAAAACCCATTCCACGTGATTTCCCCGTCAGACGGCATTATCAGACGAGAATCTGACCACTCCCCAGCGGGTTGACTCTCTCCGCAGCCTCTCTAGGTCTTCCGAGGGACTCGTGCACACTACTAGGATGGTTCTCTCAGGTTGATCGGGTTGAACTTGATATTTACGAGAGTGTAGAGAGATCAAAGTGATGGGCGTGAATTTCTGTGTAAAAGCTACAAATACATAAGGTATCCGGTAGACACTTCACGTAATCCTTCCGTCAGGCACTACTTCTCTCAGGGACCAACGGGAGAGGCCGAATTTAGATCGTCTGTCACTTCAAAAGCAACACAGAGAATTATTGTAGCCAGGGAATGCATGTGAGATGGGTGGATTATGCTCCACGGGCCATATGTTTGCAACTTCAGGAACGGTGGTTTAAAGGGATGGTTACCGCTACCCCCCGTGCCCGAGGGCTCCGATGTGTCTCCAGTTTTCAGGTACGTGAGATACTGATTATCGTAGGATGCAATGGTCAGAAAAATTTCGTGGTTGTCCTGCGATACAATAAGACGACTATTAAGGCAGTTCTGAATATGGATCATCATAGTATAGTACCGTCTTATCAAACTCACCGACGAAGGTTGTACTTTCGTTCATGTTTTTGATCATGCATTATCCACACAACCATCTCGCCTGTTTCTTGCCATAAGAGCGCGGGGCGATTAACTGGATCCCGAGTGTTGGGTTTGACCTCAACGATAGCGAATACTTCTTTATCTGCTTCCAAATAGCCGTCGGTACGCGCATTCATCGTGTTGTTGCCAAATACTGCCTGGGAGAGGAGCGAACGCTCTGATGTCCATTGACATCTTATCTGGGATTGGTAAACGAGGACTGCTTTGGTGAAAAATATCAGAGCATCGTTCACGAGTTGCTCATCGTTGGTTTGCTCGATTTTTATCTCGGATCTGAAAATTGCTGATATATCGCTAAATCCTGTGGCAGTTGGCGATGGAGTACGGCCATTTCACTACCACTTTCTGAGTCCATGCCAAAATAGTCGGGCTTGGAAGTTTCACGCCTTTCGGGTGTTTTGGAGAGCGATGGTTGCATATTGACTGAATCCGATTCGGGACGTTCGCCATGTGAAGCCGGCTCCAAATTGATCTTTGATTGGGACTGTCTCACCAGTAGAAAGGCACCCATATCGCGGTAGACGGGTTCTGTATTGTAATGTGGTTGCCCGACTCGCTCGATGTAGGCGTCCAGCTCGGGAAAGTCCTGCATCACTTTGGCCGACCTTGTCTCTTATTTGGGCGTCAAACATGGCACTCGGGAACCGTTCTGGCTTTCGCAGTTTTGGCCATATGGCCCTCATGGAAGTGAAGTCCAAGGCTGTCAGCTTCGAGGCGGAATGTATACCTTGCAAGGTATGTAAGGTTGGATCGTCTTCTGCCAGCTTGCTGGAACATTCTTGCCACTCTTTGGAGGTTTGGGGGACTTTGGGCTTGGGGAGATTGGGGGTTTGGGAGGCCTCGTGGGACCTGGATGCCCTGGAGGGCTCAGAGGAGTCGGAGCGAGTCGACATAATGGATGTAAAAACGATCTTCGAGAGAGGTAAGTAAGGCGAGGCTTTACCCAAGTATACGCGCTCCTGCTCTGTACACGCTCCTGCTCTATACATGCTCCTGCTCTGTACGTGCTCCTGCTCTGTGCGCGCTCCTGCACCATATGCGCGCTCCTGCCCTTGAAGTACAATATCTACATCTGGCAGGTGCATTCCTACACACCTATGTAGCGTAGAACAGTTCGCTACTCATGCGGTCTTGCTGAGTCTTTTGGATAGTGCTTTCTAGATCTCTTTCTAGATCTCTTTCTAGATATTATTGCAAGGTGTCTCATCGAAGGATGTCAACAGTACGCACATGAATAAGTGTGATATTCATAGGTTGAACATGTTTACATGAATCATTTTTATTCTGGACACATTCTGATATGGGTAGCTAAGTCTGTAGTCAAGATTCAACGGGGTTGCAAAACATATTGTTGTCTGAGAGACAGTTTGTAGGTACCACCAATTGGCTCACTCAACCGATACCGAACGAACAATTCCACTGGTGCGTTTTCTGGGTCCTCAAAGTTCCATAGCTGTGAGTATTGCAAGACTAGCCCCTTTCCATCATACGAAGCCTGAATGATTCTCCCCTGATGATCGCCCAAGCAAGAGAGAACCAGAATCTATACAGTCTTAGATATTATCACACTGCAACACGGGGAAACACTTACTGGATGAACACGACATCTGCGGAATGGTTGATGATTCACTCGAAGGAGCAGGGTGTTCACAATGGCTCTCAGCTCGTGTGTAGTGAGTCCCCGATTGGTATCAGTGGGACGAATCTGAGCAACACATGACATGATCGAATGTGGCTTAAGAGGACGATCGACATATCGGTGATGATGTTCCACTCGCCATGCTTTTCTGCTTGCTCCAAACACCTCCATGGTAGGGGGGTCGCCTGCTCTGTGTCTTGGGCTGTCATTCGTTAGTTCCTTCGATAACCGTAGAAGATATGTGCAATAATCTGCAGTCTACTCACCTCCATGGTCCTTGGTTCCGAAGGTGTTGGAGCGTGTAGTAATCGGATGGTCCTTGCCTTAGAGCAGACAGGTGACCATCGATGACATGCGCTATGTCTTCCGCTTGGCCGTACGCATCATTCTCCATCTCATACAAACTGCGATCCCAAATTGTGAGATTCTTAGGTATTGGAGCGAGTTCAGGGGGATATCTCTTCGGGTCAGCGTTGATGAAATCCTGTATGGTGCGGATATGAGGTATCATCAGATGATTATGACGATATTCCTGGTCCACTTCAGGATGGAGAGGATATTTTTCGACGACGTTCTCCGGGTGTGGTTGAAAGAAGCACGGGTCAAACTTGAGTTCAGTTTTATCCGGGTTCAAGGACACCTCAAATGTCTGGATTCCAAGTTCCTGAAAGTCTTCAGGGGAAGGGAAGTCGGGCTCAAGGTCTGCGACCTGTTGCGCAAGGGACCTGATAAAGGCATGAGGTTTAGCTTGCGAATTCATTTTGATGATAAGTGAGGTGTAGGAGAGATAGAATTAAATCAGGAAAACAAGATGGGCGGGGTGTAGGTGACAATTCCAAACATGTATTATGTCACATACGGGAGGTTTATACCCATCGCAACTTCTCAATGAATTTGTGATAATGCAAGTCATGAGCGCAAATAGCTTGTCCTACTTGCTTCTCATTGCACGCATCCTCAGCTTATAGTCAACACCTCACTGTCGCTACACCTACATCTTTGTAGCTAGTGTGTCTTGTTTTTCATATAGCCATTATCTCATACAGCCAGTGGCTCACATCAGTGCTTCCGCCACACCGATCAGGTCAAGCCCCAGCGTTCTCGCGCAGCCAGCGTCCTCACACAAGTGTCTCTGTACATCTTGACCCTGCATAACCGGTTCTCCAACCTTTTTCCTCGCCCTACCAACACCACCACTTCGGCTTAATCACAACGCCTTCGCCGAATCATTTTTGAGAATCGAAGTTTTCCAAGTCCTCCATGTCGCACCGATAATAACCATCGACAGCCCGCCGCTAGCGCCATTCCCCGTCAACATCACTTTCAAATTCCACAGGCGGAAGGCCGATCACTCCATCGAGTAGTGCATACAACCCATCAAACAAAAAAGAACATAACAAGAATAAGACTCCTCGCTAGCTAGAGGTCAACCTGATCCACTCATCTTACTCCGACGATGAGGATGTTAGGGTTGATCTCAGCTAAATCCATACCTCCCCATCGCAAACAGCAGACATAAAAGGAGTCGGTCAGACATCACATTGATTAACAATATTTGGGGCCTCACGCGATCATGATATGCTAGTGGGGAGCTTTTCATTTTACATAACTCTCCCGTAACTCAAATCCTCCCTGCATACACCGGTGACCCATCAAATGTCGATGTAGGGCCAATAAAAGCAGAGATATCAAGAGGCATGACATTCGAAGTCAATTCCAATAGATAGAAGTTATAAATTGATGACGAGGGTATGGACCTAACCCATATCTACCGTTCTATCTCTACAGTAAACAAGTGTTTCAACCCCTGAAGGGCAACGGGGATTTCGGAATATTATTTTGAAAGGGCCGCTGCCCACGAAGATTCAAAAAATACTTTTACAATCTCCGGGATCTCTCTACGCCTCCCTCGCCTTTCCCTTGTCGTTGTCTAAGCAACAATTTGCGATTTGTCCCGTGATATAAGCAATTGGCACGCAGCAGCAACGGTGCAGAGTGATGTAGATGTACCAGGAGTGGTGGCGGGGGCCTAATTTATATTGATCAGTATCTGTTCCTGTGGGGATAAAGCTGCCTCGATTTTGTACACAAGAAGTAACTCACCCTCTCCACCATATGGTTCTGCCTCTGCCTCCTTCTGAAAGTCTTTGTCGTCAGCTAAGCAGACGATGTAGATCAGCAATTTGGTCGATCGCACTAGAGAATCAGGTAGAATATCACGCATACCCTTCTTTTCGGCTGTTTTGGCTGATCATAAGCGTTAATTCTCTGTCTCCTTCAAAGACTGGTTGCGGCAACAGGCACGAAGGGGCAGCAAGGGAGGGAATTCTTGTATCACAGACTGGGTGGTTCAATTCAACAAACAACAGAACATACCCTTCTTATTGGCCTCGTTTCCCTTGTTAGGAATCCACGGCAGGCCTTCCTCTTGCCTTTCTGTGCCAATTCTCCAAATCTAGCAGGCCTTTTAAAGGATACCGAGGCATGACTCGCGGATGAGGGCTGCCATCCGCTTCAGCCATTCGCAGTTCGCCTCAGTGTGACCTGGCTAATTGCACTGTGTGCAATAGCTCTGCATCACTTGTCAGTGCTATCACGAAAATCGCATTGCATTGGAAACTATGATCAGAAGAAAATTGTACACTTACTCTGTTGAGATGCGGGAGGTTGTGAGAGAGAAAGAAAAAGGGCAAAGATGGGAGAAAGGTGACGAGTTACTTTACTCTGGGAAAGGACTATGAGAGGTGCCTTACAAGGCACATGTAATACTTGAAAAGATATCTAAAACATCTAAAACATCTAGCGTAAAATACATGCCCTCGTAAGCCTTCTTGTTAGAAACTGACTCAAAGGCTTAAAATATGTTGAAGGACTCACGTGGAGACGCTAAAAGTGCGCTAATGCGCCCAACCCATTTAACCACCTTTCTCGGTATTTCTTCACGGTATACCATGTCCGGCATTGAGATCATCGGTATTGCAGCCAGTATCATACAGGTTGCAGACTTGGGCACTTCCCTATCCGTCAAGTTATTCTCCTTTTACCGACGAGTCAAAAATGCCAACGAAACTATACAGCTCTTGTCAAATGAGGTCGCACTCGTCAGTGCCATTCTGCGTGAGCTGGGTGATAGCTTGAAAGGCGGGAAATCATCCGAGCTCTGCTCAGATGAGGCATTTCAAACGCTAGAATGTGTTCTAGAGCAGTGTCGCGGTGTACTTCGACAAATCGAAAAGGTTGTCGATGTGAATGATCGGTCTAGCAAAAGCCGATTACAACAGGTCACTGGGAAGTTTAAGCTCGTTCTGCTAGAACCAAGTTTAGATCCCCTGAAAACCGACTTGGAAAGGCTCAAGTCAACAATGCTGCTTCTGCTCAATGTTATTATGTTTGCTGGGAAGGTTCGCAGGTGAGTTTGAGCTTTGGTCTTCAACATGTTTTTTTCTAATTGAATGATAGCAATGATATACCGAATGACCAAGAGCAGCGTGCTTTGATAGAGACACTGTTACAAGAGAAACAGCTTGAAAATAATCGTGGAAACAGTTCTCCGCCGAACTATCAACAGGCTCAACAAATGCTTGACTCGAAAATGACAGACAATGCCCCCAAATCAGATCCATTCCAAGAAGGCGAGTTCGCCGAGGTGAATGAGTATAACGGACTCATTCACAAAATGCTGCACGAAATTGATTCCTGCAAATCAAAGCTCGAAAACAGCCGCTGTTCAAGAATAAGAAAAGGTGTTTTGAGTATACATGACAACGAAATTATTCGATTCCAACTCAGTCATGGTCATTCTGTTCTCCATCAATTTGACAAATCCCTACTGATGTGCGTGTCACTTTGCCTATCCCAGCACTTATCGGATACAGAACAGTGCTGATTTTCAATAGTGACGAGAAGGATAACTCGGAGAGTCTAAGGACTCACATTTCGGATCATATTCCTAAATTGAGGTCAAAGGAAGCTTCACCACAAACTGCAAACCAAGATCGAACACAGCCTCCGACATCAACATCTATCGAAACATTGGCGGCAAAGCCAAAGAAATGGGTTCTTGTGACCACAGATGGCTTGAACTTCCGTCTAGTCGATATATCTGACATTCCTTCGGTTGATACTTTACGTGCAATGATCTGTCAAAATCTCGGAATTTCCAACTGGGCTAGTGCGCAAATCTTCCTCGCTGAACCTGGTCAACTCGAACATGGAGATCCCTTGAGTGATACCAACCTGACATATTGTTGTCGGATAAAATCAGACCCCGGCGCTCCCTTGAAACTGTTTGTGCGAGGAATCTTTTCCAATCTTCCTCCACCCAGGCTACATTCGCCCATATCAATCTCCCGACAGGCGACGCTTGAAGCTTCCTCTGTCAAGGCATCCCCTACCGATAGCATTCAGGACTCTGACAAGTTACATCACTCTCCAAAATCAGGCTGGCTCTCTCGCAACGAGCCTGAGCTACTCGAGATTAAGCGGAAGCAGAAGGCACAATATGACCCCGGTAAGAAGAAGGCTTATGGTAAGAATGGTTATAAGCACACAGAGGCTATTGAAAACAAGGCTGGTTCATTGGTTGCGATGAACGAGTCCTCGGCACTCGCCAATGCCCCTTCCCCGGGTCAAAGACCAGTGCAACGTGACTATTCTCGGGCCCGGCTGACGGTCGAAACACGTGTCCTAGAACCTGAACTTGCCAGTATGGACCGAACGAACAATGCAACTGGCACACCTGTGCCTGCTCCTGTCACATCATCTACCAACCGAGAGGATGCTATGTCGGAGCCGGATCGGTCTACTGCGCTTTGTTCTCCTGTCGCTTATTCCCCTGCGTCGCCTACTTATTCTCCTGCCTCACCTGTATATTCCCCTGTCTCGCCTGCATATTCTTCCACCTCACCATCTTATTCTCCTGCATCGCCATCGAGCAGACCAACATTTGGTGAGTTTTGCAATGATGACTGCCTCAATATAGGATATCTTTCCTGTCGACGCTCTGTTGTTTTGATTTCTGACCATCGTGTTATCTCAGATTATCCATTCCAGGAATCTATACAATCACGACAAAAGTCTGACGGGGAGTCTCTACCGATTGCACTACCAGAGACCTTTGAAGACTTACTTTTGCGCTGGACCAAGCTTGGGCTGAATGAAGTTGAAGCGCTATGAAACCTTGGGGGCCACTAGAAAGATATTGAAGAGGGGAACGCTCAAGACATTATGCTCTCTAGCATTCGGGTCGATTCAGCAGTCGTAACTCAGCCTCATGCCCTTCATAACATACGAAGCTAACCGAGACAGAAGCCAACCAAGAGAGGTGTAGAAGTGTGTTATCTCAATCTATAAACTCTCTGCTACTTGTAACCTCCGAAGCATTGATTTGCACTAACTCCTTACATAATATCCGCTTGCATAAATGAGAGGAAAGGTGCAGGCGCATAGTGGGAGCCATGTCTCCCCACTACAATATATATTACTATCTTGTCGCAGCCTCCGCCGTTTGTCGCTACAGTGACTCTGTAAATTCTACAAGTATATATAAAATTTCACATTTAGAATAATGCCCCATTGTCTGAGGCTCTCTCTGTAATACTACAGGCAAAATCCGAACTAGACTGTCGTACTACGTGCGTTTAGGGCGCCTTTTCCATAAAATGCCAAGGCGGGATGAAAAGGGGAAAACAAACGAGCGCGATTTTTGTACTTCGTACGGAGTGAGATAATACTTCAATAAATTCTCTCCTGTTCTACTCAGTGAGAATCTGATATCTGCATCATGCCAACCGCCTCCACACTCTCCGGCTACACATTCTCCAACTGGGGTCCACTCACAACAACCTTCACTGCTCCAACCAGTTGCGCAACACTCACCAGCAATGTAGGGGCTGGGGAGTCAATCCCGTTCCCGCGTCTCTACTATAGAGCCGAATGCTCACCCGAATATGACTGGTCGTGTGTGCCAACAGGCACAATCACCTCCCTACCGCCACAATATACATCTCTGGATTTAAATCCGCAGAACGAGATGCATAAGAATTATTTCTCACCAGGCCTGTACTGCCCATCCGGATGGGCAACCGTAGGACTGGCATCGAGAGACGGCGACAAGCCAGTGACTTCCTCGGGCGTGGTCAGTCCGATAGCACCAGTGCCCACGCACTTCTATTTCCCTTTTGCGAATACACCGGAAAATGTGTTTGTGCAAATGCTGGAACCTAATGAAACAGCCGTGTGGTGTTGTCCGAGGTTCGTGTCTGATTTTCATGTTGTAGTGCGTGAATAAATGGTCTAATATTTTACCATAGTTCGATGACCGCAAACACCTTAGTAGGGTGCTACTCAGCACTTCCAGACTACGAAATAAGCACGGTTTGCGAGATGGTCATGCCGAGTTACAATATTGATATAGAGTCTGCGACGGTGCTCTTGGACGGCACCACGGTGAGCGGGCCAATGATGTCACTTACTGGGACACATCCGGTTTCCACCAGGCATCATAACGTTCCTGACGATTATGAATTCGTTGGTCTTACCATTGCACCTTTTGTTACGATCGTGCATCGGTCAGGGGATCTACCTGCCTCGACGACTGTGCATCAGTCAAGCGACCTACCCACCTCGCCATCTACGGTGAAGACGAACGGTGTGTCGTCGAATATGGGAAACTTCGGTGGTGTTCTTCTAGTATGGACTGCCATGACAGTGGGAGTAGCAAAAGCTATGTTCTGGTGATGATTTACATTCGTTTAAGATAAGCATTTGTTAGGACCATCTCGCTGTTCCTCCACAGTTCATGATCTCCGAACCCTGGAGCTAAGGCTCTATCTTTTTGATTAACCACGCCACTTATCAATAGTTAGCAAATTGTTCTCAAGCAAAGAGAGTTTAAACTCACATCTCGATTGTATAGGTCTAAGATCCCTAATTACAACTAGAATATGAGGACCTGGGATTGACGCCCAAAATGACCGCTTTTGAGGCCAGAATGCCTTTCCACCCGTAACTTTGGACGTCCAGTTGCCCCTTGACCGCCCACTGCCCTATATAACACCACTATTATACACCCGCCTAACAATGATAGTCACCCTCCGGTCCTGATGTTACATATTTAGATTCAAGAGATGTCTCTCTTGCAAGTACATAGGTCATGTTTGTGCAAAAATCACAAGTCGGACTTCATATTTCTATACAAGATTCAGGAAGTATATGAATGTTCTTACAACTCCTACAGGGGTGACGTTTGGCTCGCTGACCAAACATTGCGCCTTTGTGGCCAGCTGGCGTAGGGTTACAACCCAAGCACCCGCGATCTGTCACACCCAGATTCCATGCTCCCAGACATGCTATTGATTGCTCCCAGAAGTAGTAACCAAGCTCTTATATGAACGAAATGCTAAGTTCCTCCCTATACTTTCATTTAATGCGGGCACGTCTAGTACCAGCTCGATAGCTTCCTCACGTACATTATGCATATCAATTTACTGAAATCGAGCATGCTGTTATTTATTCTAAAGTAATCTGATAGACCCGAGGGTACTCGGCAATGCGGGCGGATCATAAATGCTTGTTATACACTAAGATTATCCAATATGGTCCCAACGGTCTTTGGAGTCGCATTCTGGTATACTATCGATAACTTATGGAAACCTATGGAAACATGTTACAAATTCATTCAAACCCCAGTTCAATTGTTTAGGGCTCTATTCGGTTAAATTCAACAAATTCTATGTTACACATCCTCAAGCGAGTCGTCGAGAAGAGAATCCGACATAATAGTCCAGCTTACCCAGCGGCACTCCCTCCTTCCGCAAAATTCCATACGCGGTAGTGAGATGAAAGTAAATATTCGGCAAGACAATGGTATGGGCATAGATAGCACCGCTAATTTCCGCCGCCTGATCCGGGCCCATTTGAGTGAGCTTAAGCTTCTCAGCGTGCTGGTTGACGACATCCTTGTCGGCCTCTTTCAGCGCTTTTAGCACCTTCTCAATCCGCTCGTAGCATTCGGCATATGTGGTGGGTTTTCCTTCAGTGGTTACCGGCTCCCGACCGGTCAGTCGGGCGACCAGGTATTCAGAGAATTGGGTTACGAGGCGCACTTGGTCGGTCACTGGATACATGTCCTCACAGAGACGTGCATTGAGCAGATCGGTAGCATTAGGGCGTTGCTCGGCTTGTTGGAGAAAGTGGGACAGGGAGCCTAGGATGTGTTCGGCCACCACAATGGTTCCGTCATAGAAGGTGTGGACCATGTTGGAGTAGGAGGTTTGATGTATGAAATCTTGAGAAAAGGTTTGAAGAGTTTTAAAGTGAATGTTCTCAAAGGTTACAGACATGAGGGGCCAGTCTCACCCTAGGGGTCGGCCCCAGGGATCTAGCCATCTCTAGTTAGAATTTTGGGGGCTGAAAATGCTAGGACATGATGTAATAATAAGGGATCAGGCGATGCAGGTAAAGATAATTTTGTTTTGTCTATATTTGTGCCATTTCATCTGTTAGGACACTGAGAATGTAGGGACCAAAGGGTAGGAGGGGAGAGTTATATTGGAAGGGAGATATCGTATGGAGGGGGTTGCTGTCTGGGGTACTACATGGTGGCCTAAGGCATCAACTCCGAGTACTGAAGTTTTGAAGTAGCCATGGGAGATATGGTAGGTTTGGTGGCAATGAATTTATAGCAGAAAAGATATCGAGCATAGGCGTTTGCGAGTTCGGTTGGCTCACTTAGCAATGTCGATAGAAGCCTCAACCTCATTGATGCGCTTAGCGATGTCAATAGACGGTTCACTCTCACCTCCCATTCCCCGGAGCTATACAGTCCACCGGGAGCTATAGGTCCTCTGGGACCATGCCATGGATTCTGGGATCGAATATGATCCCAGAAATATAAGGGTCTCACTCGCGAGATAAAAAAAAGCGGGATCTGGTCTGGGTAATTAATATTTGGAATGCAAATTAAAACGCGGGCAAAGCCAAAGACACTTTTTGAAGAGACATGACGTTGATGAACAATAACATGCAACCAACGGTTATTTGGGAGTTGACCGAAAGCACAATCAATATCAACGATGCTTTCCACGAAAATCAGTAGAATAAACGAGAATAGACACATAGTCTGTAAGACATCGTCGACGAGTAGTACAAGGCCCATAGTGTTGTTGATTAAACAATTGGTTGTCTCAGAAATGCGAGGGTTTAGAAAAATTATAATTATAATTTATTGTGTTTTTAGAGAAGTAGGGTGTTTATTGAATAGTATTGGGTAAGTACCAACCAGGATCATCTATACTCTTTCATCGGATATCGCCTTTTTTTCACTATAAAAAAGGTAAATCAATTAACCATACCAGCAAAAAGCAAAAAAAAAAAGGAAACGACGGCTGCATGATTTGAACATGCGCCTCCGAAGAGAATTGATTTCGAGTCAATCGCCTTAGACCACTCGGCCAAACCGCCTTGTTATTGAAGAAATGAAATAGGAATAGCAATATAAAGGATATTTAATTGAGGCGCATAAATTGCGCAATTCCTTTTGGCATTTTCTTTGCTCTAAAGTATATCTTGCTTATAGTAAGGGTAAGTTGAAGAGATTTACGGGTCTCGTTATATTGCCAAGACGTCATGAGCCACAAATTAGGGAAGATACGTGGAGTCTATAGAAACACAAAACATCCTACCGTACACTACTAGTTTGACGGACTAACTACAATGTCTTCCTCGCCGAAAAAGAGAGGACCTCAAAATCAGAATAGTCAACTGCTCGAATTTGTACCTCCCTAGCACGCTCACGCTCTGCGTCCGATTCATGTTTCCATTTCTCTGCTTCCATTACACCAACTGGCCAGTCCTTAGTCTCGTCCATGATAAGATCCGCCAGCTCCTGTGGCAACCTATTCAAAGAGTCCACATTGGCCAGGACCGACTCTCGCCACCATTCATGTTGCTGTGGAGGAACATTTCGAGTGGAGCAGATCCGGTAATGGGGGTCAACCAGGAAAAGGGTAATGTATCTTTGGTGACCGGGGCGGGTAGCATCTTCCAGCGAGAATGATTTATTTTTGTGTCGAAGAGAGTTGGCCCAGGCTAGAAATCGACCTTGATATGTGACCACGGAGCCTAAAGTTTGGAGCCTTGGAGTCCACAAGGTGAATCCTTCGGAATTCTTTATAACTGGAAGACCAAAGATTTTGTGCATTGCATCCATCCCAATTCGACACTCATATGGGTCGAGTTCATCTTCTTGTTGGAAGGATATATACGCTTCGGTGATGTTTTCCACGTCGTAGTAGTACCGTGAGGTAGCGACAATGTGTTCGTTTAACAAACCATCAACGTGGAAGTCGTCATCACCCTGATAGCATGGATTCTCCGGTGTGAGATCAATACTAGATATGCGAACGATCACTTGTAGGCCGTCTTTCCGAAACTCGTCTTGTAGGGATATAGACTGGTATTGGTGTTCACTGGGTGGAGAGCGGCTGTAGTCTTTCCTTTTCTCAATGAAAGACTTGATTGTCTTTCCCTGTTTCCAATCTTCGTAAGAGTAGGAAATTCCCGCCTCGGGGTACTTGAATGTGTGTAGTCGTAGGCTTTTGCCGCCTACAAGTTCGGATATCTCTTCTTCTGATGGAGACTCTCCGGAAAACATAGACGGAGGCATTTCCCACATCTCTGGTGTCATAGCCGCAAGAAAATCATCAGGATCTTCTGATTCAGTTGGATCGGGGTCATCGACCCTATATTTTTGATCGAGCTCGGGAAGTGTAAGATACTCCTTGAGTCTTACACAATACGCATCCCATATATCTTTTGTCCAACGCTGGTCCGGGAGTCGCCTCCTGACCCGACCGGGGAACATTTCGCCATATATGTCGTGGGGATCACAGGCCTCAAATCCATAGGTCTTGATACGCAGTGGGTAGCGGCTAGTTGGGCCTTTGACCAGAATATCATTTCAGGGGTCTAGGCTCGTAGAGATCAGTCTCTCTATGGCACGATAGGCCTGCGCGTTTTTGGGATGCAGATTGTTGATATAGGACATAATTCGCACATCTGTAGCCTTAAGGCCGAGTGATACCTCGCAAGGTAACCACTGGAATCGATTGGACCAGCGGTACATGTGACAAATAAGACGACTATCCGGTAGGAATGTCTGCTTCGGGTATTTCGCCTTCACTTTCTCGTCGGGATGCTCTGGGGTTGGCGGGACGTGGGCATTGGATGTAAGCGGACTGGAAATCCCATTATCAACCAAATTGACCCGGCCTCCCTGGTCAAACACGGAAGAGCGACCACATGCCAGCTGAAATAGTGAGGGGTCAACCAGATCAAGAACTGGGTTCCGATTGACTCCTTTCATTGATGGATTTCGGAGCATGGAGAATGCCTCCTGCAAATCGTGCTGCGACTCCCTCCCAAGGTCCGATTTGCAAACTCCAGAGTCGGCATTGAAAGTGAGAATATGACCGGTTTCTTGGAATTGAACGGCCTTATCTATTAGCTCCATTTTGCACCATTCCCACATTTTGGGAGTGACGAGGTCCATATCGATGCAGACATCCCAGTCTAGTTCTAAATAGCGTTCCGCTTTCCAAGTAGACAGAGCATCAGTATGCCACTGGCCGACGATGTTTTCATCAAAGATACCGCGCTCCCAGTTTGGCTTTTCGGTCACTCGTCCCATAAGGCGTAACATCATAACTTCGGGGAATGTCAAACGCTGAGCTCGACCTCGACCTCGGCCACCAAGGTCGAGAATCTCCAGGGCTCCATGTGCAAAGCGTTCACCGGTAGGTAGTTCATAATCGATAGGAATATCGCCGAATCCGGGGACCTGAAGCTTGTCGTCCCCTGTATTGTTCATCTGGATGCAGCTCATTTTTTTGGAGCTCGAGGAGAAGAGGAACAGCAGCAATTGTAGTGAACGCTACCAAGACACTTTTTTCTCAGCCATTATTTATTACGCCCAAGGGGTATATTTGTGGAAAGATTCCTTGAGTCCTCAAAAATGACTCACGCTCGGAGGTTAGCTCAGTCCCACTAGCGCTAAATTGACCGGAATTACAGATCCTATCGTCACGTCCGTTCATTTCTGGAAATTCGAAGCAAAAGATGCCCGTATTCTCACCTAGATGAATGCTCCTTCGGGAGGGACCGGAAGAAGACCAGGTGCTGGTTCCAGGCGTTTTAGACACTATGTAGACAAAACATCGCCTCGGCTTCCTTGTACTTCCTACTTCCTGGTTCTTCCAAGTCTCTAAATCTATTCAATACAATCATAAGGAGAAGTTTTTAGGACATGAAATCCCAAGAGCTCACATCAACCCCAGGTGAGTGCAACAGCTGGGCCTCGAAACAACCTTTCACTACTACTTTAATGTTCTGTGAACAGCAAAGTCGGCACGGGCCACGGCAGCGTGGACTGAACGGCATCGTCGTCGCCATCGTACTCGGGAGACACCACTTTTGATGGGAGGCGCAATGGCAACTTGGACTGAATGAAATCATCGCCATACTTGGGAGACAACATCATTTCTTCAAATGCATCATCCGGCGCTCTTCGTATCTCTTCCTCTCGGATTATATGAGCGACATCTGAATGGTTATGCGAAAGGGCCCATAAGTGCGGCGTGCGTCGATAAAGGAAATCACGAGACCTCAGATCAATCCCAGGTGACTGCAAAAATAGCTGGACCACCTCGAAATGACCTTTTGCTGCCGCCCATGAGAGTGGTGTTCGCCCGTAATTGGTGTCGGTGAGGTCAGGGTCCACGCCTTCTGTATTCAATAGCCGCCTGACAATACCAGTGGCCCCGCTTTCACTGGCGTATGAAAGCGGCGTACGATTGTAGGTGGACTTAGAATTAGGATTGACTTTTCCCGTATCTAACAGGAGATTGGATAGGACCTCGTTGCCACGCTCGGCGGCGATTGACAACGCGGTGCGGCCACCTAAAATGGAATCACCATAGTCAATATCTTGGGCCCCACTGTCGAGCAGGAGCTTGGATATTGAATCGTGCCCTGCTATAAGAGACGAGAGGAGTGGGGTTCGGCGCTCGCACGAGTCTTTCGCGTCAAGTTGGACAGCGTTTGTTGCGATCAAAAGCTTGACTACTTCAATGTGACCTCCCCCTGCGGCCCAGGATAAAGGCGAATAGCCTTCGTGATTCCGGCAATCCGGGTCAACCCCCTCGACGCAGAGAAGAAGTTTGACTAGTGTATCATGACCGCCTGCTGCAGCCAGACTAAGTGGTGTATTACCCGCTGCACTCTGCCACGTCGGGTCAATTCCTTTTTGTTTCAGCAGGAGCCTCACGATCTCCAAATGGCCATTTTCCGCGGCTGTCGAGAGCGGCGATTTATCTGGGGAATCACCATTTGCATCAGCCCCGGATGCTAGCAGAAGTCTCACAACTTTCTCGTGGCCATTTCCTGCTGCCTCCCAGAGTGCCATCGATTTCGAATGGTATGCTGCATCAAGGAATTCCTTTTCCCGGCCCAGAAGAATTTCCACAACCTGGGCATGTCCATTGATAGCAGCCTCCTCCAAAGGCTGGTACAATCCCTCCTTGATGTCAGAGGGTTCACCACCAGCTCCCGCATCCAGGAGTAGATTCACAACTTGCTCGTGTCCACCTTTAGCTGCCAATGTCAAAGCAGACCCATCAAAGAACGAGCCCCTGTCATCCAATCCTTGACCAGTACTGTCTATTAGAGCCTTGACTCTTAATTCCAGGCCAAAATACGATCCCAATAAAAGGTCAGAGATGTGAGACTCGTTCCAACTCGACAGGTGAGAGCTTCCCTGGTGTATAGAAAACCACACATCAAATCGCCTGCAACCTAGAGTGCACACTTCGATCACTGATTTCAAAGCCGCTGACTGCCTTTCGCTCGACGCCTTACGAAAGTGCTCGGCCCAGTTCTTGGCTGCGTATTCTAAGAAATCATGTTCTTGGGTATATTCCGTGAGAAGCTTCTCCGGGCAAGACTCAAAGTCCTCAAACAAAAGATATGCAATGCATATGTCATTGAGAATGTTGTTTGATTCGGTTGGCACCAGAGAATGCTTCCATTTAGGGAAGGCGATATCGCTATGCGGCTGATTTTCGACAGCTCTATAATTTGTTGAGGATCTCCGCTCCGCGCTTGGTTTGGATGTACACCCTGCCTTCTTCACTAAAAACTCCTTTGCAGTCTGGTGCAACAGATATATTTTTGAATCGATGATGGTCACAAACAGCCCGCATAGATTTCTCACCACGGTGGGAAACCGTGTCTCCGACTCAAGATCGAGATCCTCGTACGTACGGTCAGTTGGGCCTATTGCAAGGGCGATCCTCATCTCTTTGAGGGTCATGGGTCTGACAGCAGAGACAACAATATGGAGAAGTTTTTGGGCTTTTGCCTGGTCGGGACTCCGAGCCAGGATGTTCTCGTACGCTTCGTCAACTGTCCTAGGGAGTGTGCGAATGATCTCTTGTACTTTCGAATTCGTGTAGCTGATGCTGTTCTCAATCACGTCAAAGATCAGAGTGACCCAAAGATATGTCCGATGAGAGATAAGCAGAAGCTGATTGCGAAGAAACACGCGTTCGTGATTGTCAAGCTGCAGACGATCCCCCATTTCCTCAACGCGGGTCTGAATAACCAGATTGATCTCATTGGAGATCTTCTCTGTCTCAACATCGTCTTCGCCGCTCAGGTGGATTTCTGGAACGCGATTCTTCAGAGGTTGAAACTCGCGCTGTATATGAGCATATGGCCGACTCGTTACCAGGAATTTTAACCACGACTTGCTGTTCTCCCTGCGGTAGAACCTGTTCAAAGCTTGCGTGAGTTGAGCACGTTCACTCTCCTCACACTCGTCCAGAGCGTCTAGAACACAAACGATTTCCCCGGCATTCGGGCCGCTCGCTACTTTGAGCAGCAAGTCCCACAAGCTGGAGAAAGACTTGGTAAGCCAACCTGGATCTGTCCTGAAATCTTCAAGTATGGATTTGTGCAAAAGCTTGTCATTCTGGAGAAACAATTGGCGTAGCATGGCACACAAGGCATTCACTGCACTCTTTTGCTCCGTATGATCATCTTTGAAAAAGAAGTAGCAGACGATCCGCTTTTCAGACCCCCGAATCTCGTGGTCGACTAGACTTTTTGCCAGCACTGATTTCCCACAGCCAGGGTCTGCAGAAACCCAAAGCAAGCAAGATGATGGATTGTCCCTCCACCCTTGAAATAGAGGATGATTTGTGAACCATTGACATGTGCCCTCGACTGATTCCTGGTTTCTGTCTTTGTGATCCTCATAGCGGGAAGTATAAAGCGCCTTGAGAAGCTCATCCCGAGCAGAAGCAGTTTGAGGGTTTTTGTGCCTTCTCAGGGTGTCCAGGATGTCATTGGTATTTTCCCGCACCTCTAAAAGACTTCGCTCATGCTTTTCCAGGCCACTGTGCAATTTTGCTGAGTCAATGACCGAAGTGAAGTTCCTGCACAGCGTCTCTGAGTCCTTAATATCCGCTAGTTTTTCCTTCCAACTGTTGACTGCAAACGTCTCTTTGAATTTCTGTCTGATCGGGTGTCTAGAAAGGTGACACAGAGCTCGGGCTTGGAACTCCAGAACTCCTGAATAGAGATCCAGCATACTGGCTTCGAACTCAGTCGCAAACCGGCCAGCATCGTCCGCGCTGGCAAGAACAACATCTTTGCGTGACAAGTACAGTTTCTCAATCACATTGAATTGGCAGATCAGTTTTGACGTATAGTCAAAGCCAGATAGTAGCGCCTTGTGCTCGTTCACTGATCGAATGAGCAGCTAAACCTAAGCTTTAGCAATCTCGTTGGACAGTATTGGAAAACACCTGCAACGAACGAAAAGAACAACAAAAAAGGCAACAAAAAAAATGCAGTTGAACCTACTGATAAAATCACTGTGACTCCTGCGCAAGCCAGCGCAACATGCGGATCTGCAGAAGCCGCCGGGGAAACGATATCCCTCACAGCCAGCACATTATTCACAATCCCAGTCAAGATACTTTCGATAGAAACGTGATTTTCGCGTAGTCGAACTTTCCATTTCTTTTTCTCAAGAGCTTGGATTCTGTTGACAGTGAAATTAGACAACTGCTTCTGGCGATCAAAAGATGTCATCCCCGCAATCGCAAATCCCAGCTCTGATTCCAGAATCGACAAATATGTCTCCATGACCTTTCTCGTCTGGTCATCGGAACTGTCTCGCAGAGCCTTTTCTGCTCGGTCCCAGAGATCGCGAGGCTCATCTTGTGATGTGGATTGAGCACCGAGAACCTCGCTGTCGCCATGCGGGGTATCCGGTCCATTGTCTGCCAATGTTGATTGAGAGTGTAGAAACCTCTTGAAAGTAATTGCCCCAGCGCCCTTTATTTCGCGAAACCGATGTGAGAAAGAACGACGCATTTTGTGCTGAGCCGTGAAGATTCTAAGATTGGAGCTTGCCCCGAATGAGAGGCGCTAGAGCTGCCCATGGCCCCTGTCACTCAGCTGACATCAGCTAGTAAACAACACGCTTCCACACTGTTGAAGATCGCTATAATGGCCCTCACCTTCAACGTGGAAATATACGGTCTGTGAAGTACCAGACTGCTAAAACAGAGAGCCTCGCACCTACCTAGTTGAACTTTCGTCTCATTAGTTGGCGTCAAACACTCCGAGTGGATGGAAATTCGAATGCTCGACGTAAGAAGATTCGTCTTTCTGGAGCTCCTATGAAAAACTGGTGACGCGTTCAATACCATGTCACTTTGTTAGAAGAGTGGAAGCTGTTTTGGATTTCGCCGAAGCATAGGCACTGTGTACTTTTTAATGATCTTTTGGGTAGTCTTTTGAGATATCGTCTTAGTTGGATCTAGAATTGGTGTAATGCTAGTGTATTCAAATGTATACATACTCATATTATAAACTGCACAGGTGAAATCTGAACTGGCGCAATGGCGGTAAGAGACTGCTGTACACTATGGTTGCGAGAAGCTCTAGAACCACTTATATTTTTGTAGTACAGCATTTACGATGGCCCCAGGCTACGTTCAATATATGTCTATATCAAAGGGGGCATGGGACAGGGTACAAATAGCCTCACTACTGAAATCTGTTGAATGCATGCTCATGACTCGGCTTTCAGCCACAAAAATGTATCAAATAGAGCAAAACTAGAATTACCACGACACAAGGAGATACTCGTATAACATACTGCATACAAACTGTGTTCGGGGAAAGTATAGATAGAATTCCCTGGTCCGCATGGCACCTGGATCTTGTTCAACCTCAATTGCTCACCACCTCAGGGAGCTACTCAATTCGAATGGCCAGTGTCCGGATTCCACTGGCAGCCGCAAGACACTCCACATTTGAACAGCACAAAAACGACGATGTTGATCAGCAGATACAGTAAAGCTCTGGCAAGGTAGAGCATTACAGCGCCAGCTCGGGTGTTGACCAATGGATGTGTTGCAGCGAAGATAACACGGAGAGGTAGCAATACAACAAGAGCCGGGACGATGAAGCAAGTGTGGAATAGCAAGTCATCGATGACTGGGTGGCAAGCGATGTGTTCGAATTCGGTAGGGAAATGCGGAGAGGGTTGTTGAGGGAGATCACTTGGAGTCATTCGAAATTTGAAAGTGTACCTTGGTGGTTTCTCAGTGGATGAAATAGGCGCATGTCGGATTCTGTAAAGCGAAAATGAAATCGCAAGAAATGCAGGGGTATTCTGCTTGGTGTTACCCACACTTTTCGAATCGTCTGCAACAGGAGTGTCGCCCACATTGTCGGCTCTCACTTCCCGGGCACTAGCATCCGAGCCGACGCGAGTGAAGAATGATGTTCGACGTGTTTCACGATATGGCAAGCTGGAAAGGGAGGAGACACGTATATCATGGTTCTTTGGAATACGGGGTGCCGGAGACTGTGTTGTTTTTGGAGGGATGTTGCAGGGTGAATACTTTTGAGAGTTCGCGAGACGAGTGAGCTTCCATTTCCGGTATTGTTTCTTCTGTCGATGCAAAGCAACATAATCCTGTCTTCTTTCAATCGAAGGTAGGGGACGACGTGTCGCACGAGAAGGTGGAGATAGCGAGGCGGCAGGAGAAAATCGAACGCTTCGCAGCAGTGAACCTGATTTGGCAGATTTCTCAAAGTTACTGGCATTTACGCCTGGGTGACGATTCGCCAGGGCAGCAACAGGATACTTAATCCACTGTCGGCGGCCAATGGAAAGGCGTCGCAACTTTGAGGGTTTGGCGGATTCGCTTCCATCGTCTTGACGAACCAAGCTTGCCTCTGGCGAATCTTGGAAGCAATCGAAATTGAACTCCCCCATCTGGGGTGCAGAGCTCGTCCGTAAGTTCTCCATTTTATAGCAACGAAAGGACCCAGTAGGTTCCTCCATGCTCTCTCGTTCGCTGTGTGATGCGGGTGTGTTTTGGGGATTCAAGGGCTCAGCGCCATCAAGAGTGTGGTACTTATCCACATCAACATCCAACTCAAGTCGAGGACATTGGCGGCTGGAATCGAAACCACGGTGGGCTTGCTTTGGGCCTGCTTCTGCTTTTATCTGGCCACCTGGCTGTGTTTCGTCAGTTCGATCAAACCTAGTGAATGGCGATGGTGCAAAAGGCGAAAAGAAGCCATCCGTGGGGGGATCCGTCATCTTCAGTCGAGCATCCACGATGCCGAGAGGGTCTGACTTGAGTGATTTAACGAATGCCATGTCTGCACGGTCAGCTGAAGATGAAAGTCGATGGTTCCGAATGAAAGGTGCAAGTCATCTGCCAAACTTCCAAGCTTGGAAGGTGCGCTCCCACCTCTACCATATCCCAGGTTATACATGGAAAAGTCGGTTTCATAAATTAAGCCACTAGAAGATGTTTTAGAAAAAGACATCTAAACAGAATATCTGAGAAGACCACTGAAAGACCACTGAAGATACCACTGAAGAGACATCACAAAGTTGCATAAGCGGCCAACTATTCTTGTAGAATGTAGATAGCAGAAACGATATAATTAGCAAGTAAAATTAGAGGGCAAGGGAGAATTGCTATAATTCTACATGTTCATGGTTGGGGCGATAATGGTTATGTACATCAAGTCTATTTGACGTGAGCCTGCAGGGTCTCGAGAACCTATTCAAGAAAAGTCAGTATTTAACCAAACCAGTACTCCCCGCGGGTTCATACCTCAAGCTCAATCTTGGCCTCAGCGATATCCTGCTCGCTGCCGCTGCCGCTGGCAATCTTCTGGGACTCGGCGATCTGGGCACGGATGGACTAGCAAGGAAGTTTCAGTTAGCTTGAGTCACGACGTCGCTCAGAAAAATAACGTACATCGGCGCTGAAATCCTCAAGAGCGAAACCCTCGACAGCGTTGATGCTGAGCTGGGAGTCGGGCTGGACAACGGCGAAGCCACCGGACACTATATAGCAACCATTGTTAGCTGATCAATTCAATTGACAAGAGACCAGATTTGCGGGATGTCTCAGGGCGCGCGGATCGGACGTACGGAAGTACTGCTTGGTGGCGCCGTTCTCCTCAATGATCTCGACGAGACCGGGCTTAAGCTGCTCGATGGAGGGAACGTGGTTGGCGAGGACACCCATCTCACCGGAGGCGGCGGGAATGTTGACCTGGGTACTGTAATCGCGAATGTTGGTCAGTATTTGGAAAAGGACGCAGGCACCGTCGACGTGGGCGCAGGTGGAAGCATAACATACACGCCAGTCGAGCGGTAGATGGTCTGTCAATCAATTATCATGTCAGTAATTAGGCTATTATGCTGGGGTGCCGGCCGGAGTTCGTTCACGCACCTTGTGAGGCAGAGTCAGGGACAGCTTGATCTTGTCGGCGACGGCCTCAGCGTAACCACGGCGCTGGACGGGAGCACCGAGGAAAGAAGGGCGAGCCCGGAGGGCGGAGCGAGCGAAGCGGAAGGAGCTCATTTTGCAGTGGTGGATGACGTGCAAAGGCTGGATTATCCCTCTTGAAGTTGCGTTGCAAAGGTCGAAGTCGGAATGCCGGTTGTTCCCTAGCGGCTAGTCACGTGGCACGGGAATTCAACGGCCGGACTATGGCCAGTATGAGCTGTGTTTACTATGGTCATTCTATGCATATTTTATGAGAATACAATGAGAAAGCATATCATTTCAATTATTGTTCTATGTATTTCAGTATTTGTCTGCTTTGGAAATTGAATTCTTGCCCGAGGTCCAATTCCAAAGGTGGAGTTTCGACGCCGAGAACTAGTTGGTCTGGAAGTTCTAGCTTGTAATCGGGTACAACGCATTGTATATGTGCACTGGACTTGCTGCTTTATGTGGCACCCGAAATAAATTCTTCTTCGATACCCGTAGACAGTAGTACATACTTGACTTGCATATGGGGAAGTATATCACGCACGTGATATACATGGAATCAGGTCACGTGTATGTGAGCGGCAGAAAGAAGAGAGACAAAGTTGCAGACTGGAGAATTGCGAAAAGCAAGCCAAAAAGACCCGGATTTTGAACTATCTAGAACAGTCTATTGAAATAAAATATAATGCAATACCATATCAAAATATTATGACGTTGTCTAGGACAATCTTGCAAGTAACAAGCCATCTAGTGACGCTCTAGTATGTACACCGCCCGATAAGCGAGATCCCACAAACGGACGAGCCCTAGCCGAGCATCCAAGGCCTGACGTCCCTATTCCCACTCCTCTCCATCCATCATACCGTCAATCAGCGACAACATCCGACAAGATGGCCAGTACGTTCTTACCACGACCTTATGACCTTTGGTCCTCTGCAAGCTGGAGAGAGTTGAAAAAAAAGGCGATGGCGCTGACATGATTTTCACCCACAGAGTCCAAGAACGCGTCCCAGCACCACAACAGCCAGAAGGCTCACCGTAACGGGTACGTCTACCCTTGAACATCCTCGAACACCCTACTGTTACACCTGCCCGACATTTTTCAATCGATTCAATGGATATGGTGGAAGAAACGCCAGTGTGCGAATGATTTTATCCGGTGTGATAAATTTGAGGTCACGACTTGAATCTTCGCTCGGGCAATATCTTCGAACTACTGCATTCGACCACCATCCGTCACACCATCTCAACCAGAACCGAATCGCTGATATATCTCCTCGAATAGTATCAAGAAGCCCAAGACCAACCGTTACCCTTCCCTCAACGGCGTTGACCCCAAGTTCCGCCGCAACCACCGTCACGCTCTCCACGGCACCATGAAGGCCCTTGTACGTTGACCACAACCCGAACCCAACATCCACCACTTATGATACGGAATACTGACCCATTGAACAGAAGGAGCGCAAGGAGGGCAAGCGTGAGATCGCATAGATTATGAACTCAGTCTTAAAAAAATGGGAAACATGAAATGCAACTCGAGCGTGCAAGAGGTCCAGAGAACATAACGTGTGCTACGATCAAGGACGGTCCGCTGTGTCGAATAGGCCTGGTTTCTGCTTATTCCTTGCGCGACGAGCCTCGAGTTGTTTGATATCGAGAAATCAACAGGCTTAATTCGATGTGCACAGCGGTGCCATTTTCCCAAGCGGATTCTCGTCTGCTATATCCCTTTCCTTTTTCCTTCCAGACTCGAGGGCTCGACTTAGTCTGTGTTGTGGCCCTTGAGCTTAGTCTCTATTCCCCCCTTTCCCCCAACCCCCGTCCGGCATATGTGTGTACAGCTGCGTGCTTTTCTCATGCGCGATTGCTGAAGGATTTTTTCTTAACGTGCCAAGAATACCTCCCAAGTCCCCGATCGCTATATATCCTGTCTTGATTCTTTCGATTGCGACAGGGTTCATAGTCAGGGGGCCTACATTCCGTAAACAGTAACAGTCTTTTTTTACTAAGCCATGCTCGATTCAATTCATTTACATATACTTCTCATTCACTTTCACATCCATGATATTTCGTATTAGCGTATTATCTCTAAGAAAAGCTGTTTTTGCCGCCTATGTTGTATATTCTATATTTTTGCAGCTAATCGTCCTTATCCTTGTAAATATAGCACTAATAAAGGGAAGAAATATTTTACAGCAATTCCATATACAAAGACATCCAAAAGGAATACCTAAAAGACGTAATGAGGCCGCATAAGCAGCCAACTATATATTCTTGTTGAGTATAGTTACCAACGTCATACCTTCCAGACAACCAACTTTTTATCAAATCCACCACTAATAACCCATTCCTCTCGGACCGGGTCACCCTCTTCCTGGGGTACATCCACATACCCCGACCAAACAGTCCTCACTTTAAAGCCCGCTTCGTGACCACCCTTCAACGTAGCAATGACCTTCCCGGTCTTCGTCTCAATGCCACGAACCACACCATCATCTCCATTAACCCAAACCCCAGACCCATTAGGCCGCCATGTCAACTGCGGCGTGGAGTAATCAGTCTGCGGCGCGAAAGTGTTTGCCTGCACGAGGATAGCAGCATCCTCACGGTTCTGTAGTTCCAGTGTTGCCATTGCTTGAGACGCCTGTGTCACTGGGTCTTCTGAAGCGGATGCTGTCTCCGTTGCGGGGAATAACAGACGCACGATAATCACTTTCATATGGGGCAATGACGACGTTGCTACGGCCAGGAGGCCCGGATCGTGTGGACTGAGCGCCATATCGCACAGCGAGAACGCAATCCAGGCATTGGAATGGGGAGCCAGGTTCTGATGTCCAAGGAGACGAGCTTCCGATGCTGCTTCGACCTTGTAGTAGTAGATATGAGTCGAGTCCCTGCGCGAGACGAGGAGGAGCAGCTCGTTGGTGTCCACATGTGGAACGAATAGCAGGGTTTCAGGGTTTGAATTGAGTTTGATGCGTGCAACTGGCTCGCCAATCTCGAGTGCTGATGCGTTTGCTTCATCCGGGATATTCAGGCAATATAAGTAAACATGCTCGTCCCAGCCGGCGGTGGCAACCCACCACTTGGAAGGATCTGTCTTGTCTTCGTAGGCGACCACCTTCACCAAGTACTTTGCATGGTCCTTTCTGCTGTCAAGAGTTTCAGATCCATGCTGGAGGATTAGCTGGCCGGACATGTTGCTCATGAGGATGTACCGGCCCTGAAGGATCGAGACAAATGACAGAATGGGTGTAGCAGAGAGGCCCGAGAATGACTTCAGAGCCGTGTTGTCTTCTGTTGTCCCGAATAAATGGACCTGTTTGTCTGCACCCGTGGAGACGATATAAGACTGCGCTGATGCAGCTTCATCGACATCACCGCGGGGTTTCTGCCATTTCTCTACTGACGCAGAAAGGATGTTTGATGATGTCGGTGTCTGAATGACAGCAGGTTTTGATGGTGCTAAGGGTGTGTCAGATAACAGAACAAAAGCAATCGCAAAGAAAGCTTGTTAAGCCGAGTCTCAACGGCTTTTGATTGCCATTCCAGAATTAAACTCACCTGGCTCGCTCCATAAATCGGACTGCTGATGACTCTTGCCATATCTTTCAAAATCCACAGATTGGTCATAGGTGTTCTTCTCCTCGAGCAAGCTTTGGATGGTCCAGTTGTTGGTGTCATCGCCAGAGGTCTGCCCCACGTCGGGAGCAAGGTCAGCCTCGCGGAGAAAAGCCTTCAGTGTCTCGGGATAGTCATTGCTGCGCAGGAACCGAGCAATTATAGCACTTGATAGTGCATCTATTGTTCTAGAAGGAGGCATGCTTGCATCTGATGTCTCGAAGAGATTTTGGTTAGGGAGAGGTCAGTCGTGGCGCACGACACCCGTGAAATGATAGACGAATGTTGGTTTAGTTTACATCTTATATTCAGTCATTATTCGGAGATTACAGAAGAATTTAGGTGCTCCACCAACAGAGCAGAGTATGTATCATTATGAAATTTTTATCAGACAATCGATTTCCCCATCCCATTCGCGAAACGCCGGATATCCATCATGCTCCCGTGAAGACCCCTAACAATCAAGCAAATGCACAGTTCTCGACATATCTCTTAGTGTATTCAGCTGAACATATCTTCGGCCCGACGCCGACGACCACCGCGCCCTTCTAGTGTATCGGAAAACAATTCCTTGCCAGCGTTTGCGCCAGCGCTAGGACCAGCGTTGGTGTTATTGTTGGGGACATTGTCAAACTTGGAAGGAAACAACTCGCGCACCGACGCACCCCGGCCTTTAATCGACATGCCATTCGATGCGCCGCCCCGGATAGCAAATCCTTGGTCCTCGGTGGCTGCGGCTGCTCCACGAATGCGGGCACCGTTGTTGGTGGAATCAGGGAAGAGCTCAATGTTGCTGTGGCGTCTGTGTTCAGAGGTGCCTGGGACAGAAGAAGCGTCGAATGCATCTGACCGACGATGGTGACTAGGCTTGCTAGGCAGCAGCTCCTTCTTGATGTAGCTGGATGCGGGCTTGTTTGGGAAAAGCTCGCGGTTTCCTGACTCGCTCTCGTCCACGCCCGCGCTTGGGAAAAGCTCTCTATCTTTATTCTTACGATCGTGTCGAGGCGACCTCTCACGGAACCGCCTGGTATTATCGCGACCACCTCGCTCGACTCGAAGTTCTTCCTCCAGCGTGTCTCGTCCCGGGGACGCACTGCGGTTCCGGAGACGTCCGCTTGATCGGCCCTCCTCCTCTGGAAACAGGTCCCTCTGGCCACGACCTCTGGGCTGTGGCCGAGCGCGCTCGGGTTCAGAGCCAACATTATCACCGTACATGTCGGCGTTGAAGTGGTCGTCCTCGTCGCGGTCTCGGCGGCGTCGGTGCTCGCGGTTGTCGAATTTGCGCCGCCTGTAATCACCATCACCTGCATCGTCGCTATTTCTCCTGTCCGCAAACTCTTGTCGCAGGCGTTCTCGGGGATCATGCTCGGGGTGCATGAGGTAGAAGCGACTCTTCTCATGAGCGCGGGCTTGTTTGCGGTCCGACTTGACAGCCGATCGCACTTGGAGGACGGAATCGGGGTGAGAGGAGAGTAATTTCGCTGATCGGAGACGCAGAGGTGGCAAGGTAGACGCGTCTTCTTCCTCGGCGACTTGCGTGAGGGCTGTGAGAGCTTGGAGGCCAATTTCGGCGGAGGCGAAGATGATGTTGGCGGATGTGTCGTCGATCCATTCAACACGCACTGGTTCCTGTCCAGAGCAGTCACGAGCAAATTGTTTGATATTCTCTGTGGTCATTTCATCGACGCCGCGAACATGCACTTTTTCGTAGACCGCTTCATCAGTGAGGGGGTCGACAGTGGTTTCTAAGTTTGCAGTTGCTTCCTATCGTTCAACACATGTTAGTCGACAATTACAAATATCAAGACAAAAGAAAGCATTCACCACCTGAATTGGCTCTGGCTCTGGCTCTGGTCCGAGGTCAAGGTCCATGTCGATGTCCATGTCCGCGGTAGGAGCTGTGGCGGCCCCGCTGAATGCCATGATTCGGGCTTTTCTGGATGAATCAAAGGATCAAATCAGATCTCAGCTAACAGTTCGAATGGAATTAACAATTGATGGGATAGGACTGAGCAATGCAAGGTGAAAACCGTGCCCGCGGTAGCTTCACTCTCTGTCCTGATAAGGAATAGCGTCCTTTTCCCGGGGAACACCACTCATCAATATCAACCTCCAGGACGTGGACGTCTAAGAGCCTTCTTATTGTGAACGACCCTAAGGATGAATTGCGAAGGAAAGGTTATTTGCTTCGATGGCTGATATTTAGATAAAGAGTTGAAGGAACAGAAATGGTAACATGGTCTCTCGGATTGCCATCAAAGTATCCCAGGTTATACATAAAAAGGTCTTCTGCACAGTTTATGCTATTTTCCGCCTTTTCTACCGTCTATTTATAAAATTGCCGAGGGCCATCTCGCGACTACGGACTCACTAAGCCAGACGGATGAATCATGGCTCCCTCAGAGTATTCCTCTTTCGGTAGTGACGGGTCACGGGTGTTACGAGTACATTATAGAGAAAGTGGCTATCAACCAGATAGTGGCACGACTCGAACATCAGATCGAAGTTGGAAATGCCAGAATAGCTTCTATTAACGCCCTTGGGGGCCGGAAATGTCTTCCCGCCGTAGGGCATTTATGAAGACAAACACATGTGAATTGTTTTGGAATTGGTTTCATAATGTCAGTTCTCCAATGGCTTCAAAATTTTCGTCTGATTCAACACTCTTGCCCACTCAATTACAGTACGGCCATTTGCATCCTCGATGCTGATATCTGCTTCAAGAAGCCAATTGGTCATTTCTTCGTCTTGGATTGTATGGATTGCATAACTATCATAATTAGTCATTGTTGCTTATGTTTATCTCAATATCCTTTGAGTCACCAACCCGAGAACCGGAGGCTTTACGTCGCTTGCCGGTTCATTGATATCCCATCCTCTTTGAATGAAGCATTCGAGTGCACCTTTCGCTTTTTGTATTGTTGCTTCTGATGTAAAGTATGAATGTATCTCGAAACCATGGCGAAGAAGCCCCAAAATGAACTGTGTGTTGTCTTGTTTGATTGCCTCCATCATCACGGAGCCAAGTTCTTGTATGACGAAGCTTTGGTGCATGGAACTCGAGGGGAACGAAGCCATAGTATCCTTGAATGATTGGATATCTCCATTGATGCAATACCACAACAACTTCTCAGTATTAACAAGGTAGATGGTACTATACTTTCCAGGCATCTTGATTTATAGATTTACTATATATCGTCCTCTTTAACCAGATCTCAATTCATAACCTCATTCCAACAATGACCAATAACACCAACCTGCAATTGCTACGTGAATCGGCCTATACAACACGAGGAACTAGGCGAAGATCGCATCCACTGGGAGATAATTTTATTCGGATCATGGCCTATGGTAGGCTTGAATTCGCTAAACGAACGAGATGCCAGTTGCCTAGGAACTTGGCGTGGTTAGAAAGCGTTGTTGTCAATGAGGTTGAGGGTTCGGGCAACGTTATCCTGGGTCACAATCTCTCTGTTGCCTTTCCACTTGCCGGTCCACTCGGTACAATGGGAAATGATTGTGTTGTGGGCATCCATGTTCCGAGCTTGCTTGTAACGAGGTCGCCGCCGGATATTTGCAAGTAGGTTACGGTGGTTGGAATGCAATCCCTTCTCCTTGGCCTCAACCCAAGAAGTAACATCATAATATACCTTGAATGCTCGCTCCTATCCTTAAGCCCGGGTATAGTCTTCCGTGAACATTCTGACATCGTATCCACGTCTATTATTCGTGTAATCTAGAATCTATTTATATTGATCCAAGCTATACCCCATACGCCGTAATTGTTCGTGATTCAACATAGAATATTATTGTAACTAATATGTTCTTTCAGGCAATCCGATGAACATATCTAAACTAGTTTCCTATTTTGGAAGACACGGAGTTGTATCCTTGCTCTATCTGGAAGGTCGACTTTAGGCTAAACTCGTGACGGATGCTACCTATGACCTCGAGGCGTTTAAAGGTGGACATCTCCACCTCAACCTCCAAGAGCTATCAGAAGTTCTCTTCAACAAATGAGTGTTATTACTGGTACTTTCTGTGGATCTGCGGTAATTGTCGGAAATAGCCATGACACAGCATCAGGACTGCAGGATGAGGGGTACATGTCATTCCCTCAATACTTAATGCCCGGCTCTTTGGACTAGACCGCTCATCTGTCCAGCACAATCCGCCTCAAACTGTGCTTGCTTCCATCAAAAACGCCAGATTAACCATTTGCAATCTCGTGTTCCAAAATGCTCTACGCCGAAGACGACAAGCTTGTCTTCCGTTTCGACGACCACATCCTCTGGGTGCAGCCATGGGGCGAGAATGCCTTCCGCGTACGGGCAACAAGACAGGCATCAATTCCAACCGAAGATTGGGCCCTCTCCTCCAAGCCATCCAGCCCAGCTCCAACCATCGAGATATCCGCTGACCAAGAAGCGACTATCACCAATGGCAACATCAAAGCAACGGTGTCACGCAGAGGCAAGATTATCATCTACGATTCAAAGGGAAACAAACTTCTTGAAGAGTATGCCCGTCACCGCCAGGACCCGATGGACCCCAAATGCAGCGCGTTAACTGTCGAAGCTCGCGAGCTGCGTCCAATCCTGGGCGGCGATTACCACCTCACTATGCGATTTGAGTCTCTCGATCATAAAGAGAAGATCTTCGGCATGGGCCAGTATCAGCAGCCTTACCTGAACCTGAAAGGTACAGATCTTGAGCTGGCGCACCGTAACTCCCAGGCCAGTGTTCCATTTGCCGTTTCGTCACTTGGTTACGGCTTCCTGTGGAATAACCCCGGTATTGGACGGGCGGTTCTGGGAACAAATGTCATGAGCTTCGAAGCGTACTCGACCAAGGCATTGGACTACTGGGTTGTGGCGGGTGATACCCCCGCGGAAATCGAAGAAGCCTATGCCAAAGTGACAGGTTATGTTCCTATGATGCCAGAGTATGGTCTTGGTTTCTGGCAGTGCAAGCTTCGCTACACGAACCAGGAGCAGTTGCTCAATGTAGCGCGCGAGTACCGGCGTCGCGAGGTTCCTCTGGATTTGATTGTCATTGACTTTTTCCACTGGAAGCATCAAGGAGAATGGAGCTTTGATCCGGAGTTCTGGCCCGATCCAGGTAAATTATCGTTCTCTTTTTTATATCGCTTCAGTAGCAAGACCCACTAACAGACAATGTCCGATTCCAGAGGCCATGGTCAAAGAGCTTAAGGAGCTCAAAGTCGAGCTCATGGTCTCCATCTGGCCTACCGTTGAAAACGCCTCCGAGAACTTCCCAGAAATGCTCGAACAAGGACTTCTCATCCGCCACGACCGCGGTCTGCGCGTAGCAATGCAATGCGACGGCGACATCACACACTTCGACGCAACGAACCCAGCAGCCCGAAAGTACGTCTGGAGCAAAGCCAAGCAAAACTACTACGACATGGGCATCAAAGTATTCTGGCTCGACGAAGCTGAACCCGAGTATTCGATCTACGACTTCGACATCTTCCGCTACCACGCCGGCAGCAACCTGCAGATCGGAAACACCTACCCGAAAGAATACGCACGGGCATTCTACGAAGGCATGACCGCAGAAGGGCAGACGAATGTCGTCAACCTACTGCGCTGCGCATGGGCAGGTAGCCAGAAGTACGGGGCGCTAGTATGGAGCGGCGACATCGCATCGTCGTGGGACTCATTCCGCAACCAACTCGCAGCAGGCCTGAACATGGGACTCGCTGGAATCCCATGGTGGACGACGGATATTGGCGGCTTCCACGGCGGAAACCCAGACGACCCTTTGTTCCGCGAGCTGTTCACGAGATGGTTCCAGTGGGGAGCGTTCTGTCCGGTTATGCGGCTGCATGGTGACCGCGAGCCGAAGCCGGAGGGACAGCCCACGGCTAGTGGTGCGGATAATGAGATCTGGTCTTATGGAGATGAGGTTTATGAGATCTGTAAACGGTATATTGGGATTCGTGAGCAGCTTCGTGAGTATACGCGGGGATTGATGCGGGAGGCTCATGAGAAGGGAACTCCTGTGATGAGGACTTTGTTTTATGAGTTCCCAGCGGATAAGCGGGCTTGGGAGGTTGAGACTCAGTATATGTATGGGTCGAAGTACTTGGTTGTGCCTGTGTTGGAGGCGGGTCAGCGCACGATCAAGGCATATTTGCCGGCTGGGGCATCGTGGAAGCTCTGGGAGAAAGATGTTGTGTATGAGGGTGGTCGCGATGTTGAGATCGAATGTCCGATTGAGAGTATGCCTGTCTTTTGCCGTCAGTAGATGGCGGACTTAGGATAGAAGACTTAGAAAACTATATCTCGTTCTTTCGTCATACAATTTTGCTCCTCTTTTGCTCCTCTTTTGCTCCTCTGATTGTCTGCAAAAGTACTAGGTCTTGATGAACTCATTTTCTATTTCCCCTTCCATTTAGTCTACAAGCAATCTTCCGCGCACGGTGGCTATGGCATCATGTCTCCTTGCAAGTTGGTACTAGATGATATTCCTTCTAGCCAAGCCGCCGTTGCCAAGGTTATCCCAGCATGTTATGTTGTACATCCAGTCAAGCCAAATCAAGCCCCTCATCCCCATTAGGAAAGACTACGTCAATGATATCAATTTGCCGCGATAAGAAGCCCCTGAGGTTAGAACTTGTCCGTATACAAGCGCGTACTTAATATCAAACACCCAATACTCCTAGGCAAGACACCGTTGCTTAGTTTATTAATATTAGTAGACTATGTAGACATCTAGACAAGAAATATCAAACTCCTTAACCACATTAGGAAGGACTACGTCAATGGTACATTTGCCGCGATAAAAAGCCCCCTATGTTGCATATTGTCCATGCACAAGCGCGTACTAAGTATCAAATCCGATACCCTTCTAGGGAGTAATCAAGTCGCCATTGCCAAGTTTATTTATCCTAGCAGACTAAATATCCAATTAAGACATATCAAGCTCAATCGCATTAGGAAAGACTACTTCAATAATTCCAATTTACAATATACCGCGACAAAAGCCCCTGAGGTTGGATATCTCCGAAGCGCAATTGATGCCCAAGGCAGCAAATATAAAACAAACTCCACTTATGCATAGAAGCCCATCGAAACTCAAAATCCGATTTCGCAACGTTAGAAACCTTCAATTTCAACCAAAAAAGAAAGCGCACCCCGAACAAGAAAGAGTCTTCAAAACACCCCTGAAACCAGCCACCGGAGCCAACTACCCAGAAAGGCAAATGAAGGATTCAATCCATGGTTGAGAAAGGAGTAGCGCTGGAAATTGAGGCTTTAGCTCCGGGACTTTCCCGAAGAACGGGGATTTACATGACTCTCAGACCTTGTCCGCGGATGGACGTAGTCAGGGGAGAAGCGCAATAAGAAAAACTCCTTGGAAAAAGGCTCACGCGGCCACCGCCAGTACCGACAGACGGGTACCTTTTGCGCTAGAGCTGTTTTGGGATTAGTGTGTGATTGCACCGAGATTCTCCGTGGCCAATCAGAGGGCTGTATGATAGATGGCGGTTATTGCGGCTTTGGCCGGCTTTTGGGTATATTAAACTATATTGTATTTATCTCCATATTTTCATTTGCGTATAGTAGAGATTGATGGGTTAATTTTAGTATACAATATAATATTAATTAAGTGCCGATGTGCCGATGTTTAAACAGATAGGAGAGATATAGATTGGAGATGAGATACAACATACAGAATAGCGGAACATCCACATTCCACGGATCCTCTCCAAATATCCCGAGGTAGGTCTTGATCAATCCTAAAATTGAGCTCGGGAAGGATACTCTATAGAGCGATGTGGACGTCGATCACACCGGGAGCTTGGAACGCAACGGTAGGGTGAATCCATGGATTGAGGTGCAACGTCCGTATCCATGGACGTTGAGAAACAGTCAAAACGGCCCAAAAAAATGGATGTGTATTTGTATTACTTAGGTATGTGATATACCCCTGATCCATCCCTTCTCGTTCCATGGTTGTGCTCAATATACACTCCAACGGCTCGTTTTGAGAAAATCTGATCTGTTCTTGGCGCCGTTTCATTGCGCAGGTGCCGAATGGTGGTCAGGGCAATGTTGGTGTTGAACTTTCCTTTCCGAGTTTACCTCTGCTGTGGGAGGAATAGAGTTTCGTGGGGGGGTTGTTTTTCTGGGATTCGGGTT